GGTCATAGACCACGTGATATGCTTTCTGTACAGACATGTGATCAGAAGCGAGCAGGTATAAGAGAAGTCTGTACTTAGTTATCTTCTCTTTTCCTCATCTTTTAGCTTCTGTACGATAGGTAGAAGCATACTCGTTCGCTAGGCCTCTCCGCCCATAACATGCATAGAGTATATAGTCTCATCCGAACCTAAGGTGACTCCTTAAGGATTCGTCTCAATTCAGTCTAACTGATATCTTTTGTGGCTATCTGCGAAACGCCTCACAGTTAGCTGAGTTATATCACCTCTTAGCTAGCAAAGTCCGTAGATAGTATACTTATAAATATGCGATATCCATCACTCTATAGATCTTGAGGTACTGGTTTAGATCTAGTATCTAGGGGTGAATAAACTAATAAGATTTACTTAGTTAGCCCAAGCTTTTTTTTGGCGAGGCGCGTGAAACCTGACTCTCTATTTCTAAGTACGTTGGTATTATCGCGCTGATTAAACAGCATTGTCCCGCGAATCCAATTGCAGCGGGCCTTTGTCAAGGATACGTACTCGTCTTATCGATAACGCCCCATACTTACCTGCCATCTCCGCACTGCGCCGCCGGTAAGACTCGGAACGCAACACACATAAACAACGACAACCACAAGCCCGCTTTCTGTTCTATCACCAATAATCAACCAACAAGGAACCATGGCAGACAACAAAGCCTGGCCCCCCGCAAACGGTCTCACCACCAAAGTCGTCCCACGCGAAAAAGCAATCGTCGAACTGGCCTACTCAACCCCCGTGAACGCGCCCGCACACCTCGTCTTCGATACCCTTCTCCGCACCGCAAACTACCCCGCGTGGAACACATGGATACCAAGCGTCCGCATAATATCCCAGCCTCCTCCCCGCAACACCACAGAAGAAGAAGAAGACACGTCGCGCATGCGTGTAGGCACTGAAATGGAATTTAACGTCGTAATGGACGCCTCGAAACCAGATTCCATCACGCACTCACAACTCAAAGTCTCGGATATCTCAACGCCCGATGCGCCGTCTTCGTATCTTTCGGCGGAGGAACTGGCGGATCCGAGTTTCACGGCTGATCTGAGTAAGGTGTATCGGGTTGCGTGGATGAGTAATGGGGGGATGATGGGGTTTGCGCCGGTGATTGAGCGGGTTCACGAGGTTATTGTTACGGGGGAGGATACGTGTGAGGTGCGGAATTGGGAGTTGATGGGGGGCATGACGGCGAGGCTAGTGAAGATGTTTGTGTTGGAGACGTTGCAGGGGAAGGTGAGGCTTTGGCTGGATGATCTGAAGACGTATTGTGAGAAGGTTAGTGCGGAGGGGAAGGCGGGTGCTCAGCCTGGGAACTGAAACTTGGATGTGGTAGTTTGTACTACATTGTGCATGTGGAGTTGAGGGGCTTGATATCAGATTTGTTTTCTTCATCACATGCAGCCTCGTCTCGAGTCTCGCATGTCGGCAACTGGGATAATGGATGCCGATCCCCAGCGGGTCTCGCCGTTATTCTCTCCGATCCAAGATAAACCCTGCACGCTGGTGACATCACCGTCCTATCGCCATTGCCGACAAGGAAACAACATGCGCATGGGGAATTCAATGCGTAATGATGCAGCAGGTTGGCCGTTACTACGTCCCTAGAACAATTCCATAGCATTGTTTGCCTGGTAGAAAACAAAGGCTCACGTCGTTGTCAAGCACCTCAAAGCTACGTACGAAGCTTTCGCCAACCCCAAGCTTCGCGTCTCTTGTCCTTACCGGCCGGATTACCCAATCCGGTAATTGCGCATGTCCCTTTCAAACCATACTTGCAAAATTTCAAAGGAAAAAGCAGAGCTAACGGATGCAACCCAGTCACACGATCGGGCGCAAGCGCAGGGCCATGCGGGTGGGCATCGTAGCATCGCTGTGATCCAGTCAGCATGCGCGATGGTGCGGTTGGGGCCCCATGGGAGTGGAGAGCGTTCCCCGCCGTTTGAGTAAAAAGTGGGTTTGCGATGCGGATGGACTTGACTAGCATGGCTGCTTGTTTTCCTTCGGCAATGGTACCGATGAGATGAGGTACGTCGGATCCGCGCAGGATATATGGCTGCGTGGTATCCCACTGGTTTTTCTTCTTTTTGTTCCTGCGCGGACTCGATTCATACTGGGGCGATATACTCCCCCTTCCTTGGCTCAATCATGGATAAAATTCACCGGCTTAATGTTGTGCATCGCTATGAGAAGCGGAGTTTGCTTATAGCGTAAGTTTTGTTCTTCCCAGTATCACCTTGTATCTGCTAATCCGTGTCCCAAGGATCAATTGCATCGCTGGTCTTTCGATCCTGTTTTTTGGATATGATCAGGGTATGATGGGCGGCGTCAACACAGCATACGACTACTATACGCTCATGGGCTTTGGCCACAAAGGCCCTGATGGTGGCCCCGTGGTCGACGACACTCTCCTTCAAGGAGGCATCGTATCTGTGTATTATTTAGGGACACTGGTTGGGTGTCTAGTCGGAGGCTCGATCGGCGATCGCTTCGGGCGCATAAAGACCATATTCATTGGAGCTGCTATTGGAACAGTTGGCGCTGCATTGCAGTGCTCCGCTATGAATCACATTTGGATGATTTGCGCGCGTCTGGTTAACGGCTGGGGAACCGGTATCCTGAACTCTATCATTCCTGTCTGGGCAACCGAAACAGCAGAGCACACATCCCGAGGTCAGTTCATTGCCATCGAGTTCACGCTGAATATCCTTGGTGTGGTCATTGCCTACTGGCTGGAATATGGCTGCTCATTCTACGGTGACGGTACATCGTCGTTCATCTGGCGCTTTCCCATCGCCTTCCAGATCCCTATGCTCCTCATCCTCATGGCTGCCGTCTTGTTCTTCCCTGAATCTCCTCGATGGCTGGTCAAGGTCGGACGAGAAGCCGAAGGACGTTACGTTTTGGCTCGTCTTCGAGGCGACACTGGAGAAGACAAGGTCAGGGCCGAAGCGGAATTCCAAGACATTGTTTCGTCGTGCGAACTCGAGCGCTCCAACTTCCGCAAGCAAAGCTACTTCCACATGCTATTCGGTATTGGCTCTGGAAAGCTACATACTGGCCGCCGCGTTCAGCTTGTTGTCTGGTTCCAGATTATGCAGGAGTGGATCGGTATTGCGGGTGTTACAGTGTACGCGCCCACAATCTTTGGAATTGCGGGTATGAGTCCAGAAAAGCGCCAGTGGATTGCTGGTCTCAACAATATCTTTTACATGTTTGCGACGCTCATCTGCGTCTTCACGCTGGACCGAATCGGACGACGCTGGACTTGCTACTGGGGCTCGGTAGGACAGGGAATCGCAATGGCACTTGCAGGCGGGTTCTCGTATCTCGGTCAAGAAGCGACAAAGAACGGCGAAGCGGGAAAAGCATCTTCGTATGGAAATGCGGCAGTGTCCATGGTCTTTCTCTTCACAGCCATATTCGGCGCCACATGGCTGACGGTTCCTTGGCTTTACCCCGCAGAGATCTTTCCGTTGGAGGTTCGAGCCAAGGGTAACGCGTGGGGTGTTGTTGGCTGGTCGATTGGCAATGGCTGGCTGACTCTGCTCTGCCCGGTCATGTTCAATGCTTTAGGCGAGAAGACGCTGTACATCTTCGCTGCATGCAACGCCATCACGATTCCCATGATTTGGGCACTGTACCCGGAAACGAATCAGCGCACGCTGGAAGAGATTGACCTTCTCTTTGCATCGGATAGCATCTGGAATTGGGAGGCGGAGAAGAACTTTGCGGCTCTGAAGGATCAACTGACATATGCGACGGCGCGGACTTCAAAGGACGATATCGAGCAGCTTTCGCATCGGGGGTCGAGCGAGGTTCGGCGATCGAGTGTGCGTGGAGATATGAAGCTTTGAGTAGGTTGGTAGGAAACGGCTGTTTGGTTATCCGAGCAAGGAGTTCGGCCATGTGTGTTGGTGTGGAGATGGCTTACGTACTATGCATATCAAACGACAGCCCAAGCAGCACGGTCAATCTGAAGATTTGCGCATCTCGTCATGATACGTTGTGTGACTTGAATTGTGCCAAGTGACTTGTTAATACGGTTCAGGGGCTGATGAGAGTATGGCATGGAAGTGAGAGTGGCAGGGTGATGTGCTCATACGTCAGTTGTCCCACTGCTCCTGCCTGACCTGAATTCGCTACCGCAACCCGCACTCCATCTTGGTTCAGTTGAACACGTCTCCCCATAATCTTCCATTGTCCGACTTGTTCAACTGATACATGCCAATCGCATCAACTTTGCATCCAATCATTTCCCAGACTCAATCACCTCGACGCTACAACGATGAAAAAGCTCTTGATACTGTTGGTTGCCATCATCTTTAGCTTTGATAAAATAAAAGAGAAGCAATACAACTGTATGCCGTGCCTATCCGCCACAAAAGACTGCATGCTGGTAGGTTTTTGTCCGGCCTTGAGTTAGGCTACAGCATTGGTCTCTTGATAGATGGTATGCTAATGGCCTCGCTTGCAATAGGTATGTGAAGGGGAACCACATAGATGTTGGGCCCTATGCCAGGTCCGCACGTGCATGTACAACCCGCGCTGTCGGCACAAAGACTGCGAAATCAACATGCCCGAGTGTCGAAAGCAAATAGATGTGTTAGGCATGGACGAACACAACGACAAGGACGATTAACGAAGACTGTAAATTCTGCAACCCAAGCCACTAAAAGTGTTGTCACCAAACGTAGTAGTCAAAAAGGGCCAATCTGGGGATGATTGAGAATAGGAAGTGGTCATTTGGGTATTGGAGGGTTACATGAATGGCAGATGCATGCGAGGGCTGGTAGTCAATCATGGGCCACAAGATACATACTTGATAAGAGGATTGACGCTCGAAGCTATACGAAACACGGTCTTCATTTTTGACTCAACGTTGCATGTGTCATGAGTGAATGAGTGAAAGGTGCTCCGGTGGCGGTTGAGCCATGACGACGTCAGAGTATGATTTTCACTCCTACCCGATTTGCTTTCTTGGCACCCGAGTCGCTCTGGCCTAGATTCTGCACTCTGCAGTCTGCAGTCCGTACCGTATATATATCCCCTCATTTGCTGCTCCAATCTCTCCCCACCACTTGCGACAGCTACGAATACACATCCAAGTTACTCAACTCTTTGATCAAACTCCACTCCACTACTCAAACTTTCAACTTTCAAACAATTCAAACAACAAAATGAAGCTCTCTGCCATTTTCCTCGTCGCTCTTGCTTCGGTCGCCGCAGCTTCGGATAGTGAAGCCATGCCCAAGTCCTGCGATGATTGCAAGAAATATTTCGATGCATGCATGAAGGTGAGTATTAAACATGCAAAGCTCCCCCTTCTCCTTGGGCTCACTGACATACTGCGTAGAGCTGTTACTTTGGTGCCAACACCTGTCCTACCACTTGCGCCGTCGATACTTGCCGCGCCAGCTCCATCTGCAAGGAGCACTGCGACTTCAAGAAATGCTAAGGTAAGTAATGAAGTCACAATGATTTGGCTTTGAATTGAGACTAACAGTAGCATTTTGTAGTTTTCGACTCATTGTCTCTCTACATTCGGAACAGCCGCCTAGCAGATATGGATGGAACGTATACCATGGACAAGTTCATGTGGATGACTGGCTGAATGGAGATTGGAGGTTGCCGGCTTACAGAGTTTACTGATGGATTTTGATGGAAGGTTGTTCACGACTGGTGAAAGGGGAGTAATACATGATGGATTCCTTTAGAAGGGAAATATAATCGATTTCATACAATGATACCTCTCTTCCTATGATCCTCTCATTGTTCCATCGATTGATCTTGATTTGCGACAACAAACATTGATGCCCCATTCTGCGCAATATGTAACTACGCCAGAGGATGTGTTTGCAACAAGGTTTTCTCACCGCACATGCTCACAAACTCCACAATGGCCGTCACTCACCCCGGCTTATTCAAGCTTTTGCACTGACATAGTCCCTATCTTACTTGCCCGATTCTCGACTCAGTCATGAGAAACGGGCCTCTCTCACATACATGGCTGAACTCCAGATACAAGTTTCAAAAACGCACGCCCATATACTCTCCTGTCCTGAGTTTAGGCACCCAATCCAGACGGCTGGTATTTGTTACCTGAACGCAAATCTGGTCCCCCACAACCGTTCATCTTGTGAATTCTAGGATACTCCTTGTATTGCGGACATCCTCGATCATAGACTGTGCAAACATGCGTTTACCTTCCCCACCGCTATCGCATGCTCCCAACACTCACATGATTTTCTCTTTCACTGCAAATCCAGCTCCCACCCCCGCTCTCACACCGCAACCGTTGCCTGAACCTCCAGAGCCACCTTCACTCCGTCAGTCAACCCCTCCCGCACGTGCCCCCGCCCCCGAAGCAAGTGAGAGACCTCTCCCTCCACTCCAAACCCTTCCCATACTATATAAACTGCCCCCACCACACCTCCAATCTCTCCTCAGCGCAAGCTTTACCAATCCTTTCAACTCAATCCAACACTCAAGATCTTCTCAACTTCAACCTTCTTACCACTTCAACTTCCAACTTCAACTTGATCAAAAATGAAGCTCAACACTATCTTCCTCGCTGCCATGGCCTCTTTCGTTCTCGCCGGCCCCCTCGCGGTCCCAGACGACGTCCCCGCCCTCATCGCCGAGCCTGAGCGCGCTCCCGTCAACACCGAGGCCACCGGCACTGAGGCCACCGGCACTGAAGCCATCAACGCAGCTCCTGCCCGCGACTGCCGTCAGTGCGATGATTTCTACCGCAAGTGCATGGGCGTAAGTTTGCTTTCCTTTCCCACTTCCCCCAAGAAGATGATAAGATGCTAACGATTGAATAGTCTACTTGGTGCTGGTACGATCCCATGGCCTGCTCAAAGACTTGCAACCTCGATACTTGTCGCAAGTTCAACAAGGCTTGCACTCCCTGCGGCTACACTGATAGGTGCTAAACGCCAAACCGTGCATCTTCTCTGGTCCAGATGGGTGATTCAAGATGAGAGATGGGCGGACTATCATGATGGTGGGTTCTGACGGGGTATGATGGAGGAGGATGGGACATGGGGATGGAGATTCATGGTGCACACCTACTTTGAGAAGTGGTGCGATTTCAGAGAGAGAAGTGGATCTAAGGAATACTTTTGCTGGGCTCGAGGACGGCAGGTAGCTTAGGTCCATAAATGCATTTTCTCTTCTCTATAAGGTGATTTACTTTGATTCTCTGTGGTGCGGAGTGACATTGAGCTTATCAGTGATCAATTGATTTGACAACTTTGAAAGAAACGATGTGGCAGTAGGTTCGAGGTTGAAGTAAACTCTTACTAACAATAGCACAAGATGCTGTGGCGTTCAGCCATACCAGGTAGGGCATAGCGCCTTGCCTACTTCAACACCATCATCAATTCCGCTGCACCGTACTGCCTTGTTCCATTATCTTGCACTGTGTACTCAGTTTCAAAAAAAAGAATCCCAGCTCCTGTTTCTCAAGCAAAGTTTCTGCAGTATCATTTCGACGCAACGCCGATTGCTACAATATATGAACCAACACCTTCAGCATAATTCATTCTGTCATTGTGCAGGATATTACTTCTCAAACTCCAAATGGTCCATCGCTCCACTTTTGGTCTTACCGACGACTAGCGATGAAATAGTGCATAATTACACCGATTCCCTTGCCGAGAGTTAAAGCGGAACATGTTATTGTCTAATTCGTGGATGATGTCTCGCACGTGGCATGATCAAGGTATGTAAGCAGAGAGAAAGTTTACATTCTGATAACGACGGAATATTACAACAGTCAACTTAACAGATGACATATAGTGTTCTCCGCCAAGACAGGGACCCTGCCGAATGGAATAGCATGGACACCATTTTTTTATAGCTATTTGCGGAGTGATCGCCAGCAGGGTTATGATATCTGGTAACCCTAGGTCCCGCGGTTTGGCTGTTCTCCACTGCAAGTCCACGCTTGTCCGACCCTGAACATTGTTAGAATATGAGCTTCTTGATGCGCATGTAGAAAGAAACATACTTGAGGCAAAACTTTTCCTGTATGGAGATGAGCTCATTTGTCGTTGCGTGTAGGCAGAAGGTCGAGCATGGGTCCCCATTCTGCACACAACGGTCGATGAAGACCGAGCAACTCTGTTCAGAAGGTGGATTAGATGGATCAGGACCAGGTGCAGAAGCCACCCCCTGAGCAGATACAAGAGTCGCGGAGAGCGCGAGTATGGAGATGATGAAACGCATGGTTGAAGTGTGGTAAGTTTTGAAAGAGATGGAAGAACTGTGGTCGTGGGAATACCAAGAGTGGGAGGTCAAGAGGACTTTAAATGCACAGCGGAAATAATGTAAAAAGACATGCATCATACCACATCGTATAAGAGCTTACATCACGCAATCATAATCTATAATTAGCACATAAGAGCCAAGACGGTGCCGAGGGTTTGAACACGAGAACTTTGTTATGTCATTACTAGGCAATCTTACTTGCTCCGCACGGGCGACATGTCTACAGGCAGATGGTAAGATTACAAGTTGTTGTTAGTAACACAAAGTTCTGACAGTCAACCCAAATGATGTTTTTTTCCACTTCTGCTTGTCCAAATCGGTATCACCACCAAGAGACAGCAGAGTAGGAACAGTCAGACACTGAGAGACTGAACTCGCTCGTTGGATTGCGACGATATCCTTATCTCTAGCTGTCTAGTTGCAGGTCCCATCACTTGCTTTGTCAGAAGATTGCACCCAAAACTCCATGGAGACGACTTACCGTGAACAAGTTCCCGTCACATAAGTCTTAATACCGCGACAGTACTTTGTGCAGGTACGCAAATTTTCACTACATGGATCCACAACCATGCATTCAGCAGACGCCAGGGCCACGAAGAGGGTGATGATTAGAACAACAAAACGCATCTTGACGCGAAGTAGAACTATGACGAAGGTTGGACAGATTTGACAGATTGAGCGGAACGAAGGAAGATCGGACAAGGAATGCTGGTACAGTAGTATACAAGAAAAACTATTTGGTGGATTTCCAATTCATGAATATACTCGCAAAAAAGGGCCCATGAAATTAAGCTTACATTAGAGCTTGCTTTGAAGTAGGCAGTACGTGTTGAATATATTGATGCCCAAGTCAGCACTGGAAACATGCCGAAACCTGAAATTCAAGAAACGCCCGAGTCCGGTTAGCGGATAATGATTTTCCACACGGCACGGGCCAGAAAGAGACTTTGATGAGTCGCTCTGTCGAGCCTTGAGCATGACTGTACATGCCGCTCGGGCTTCGCAAAGACGGGATCATGAGGCGGTAAAGGTATACGCTGTCTTACATGGCTGATACACATATTTGATCGGTGCTGTAGTAAGATGTTTGTTTGTTATCGGTTAAGCTTATATACCAGCACTATCATCCAAACACAACCTTTGCGAGAGGGAAATGGCACAATAAAAACCACGAACAACTTGATATCAGGTTGAGGAGCCGGTGATCAATGATGTGTTTTAGATTGTCGACATTTGTATACCTTTCGTGGTTATCTGATCTAACTCAACCATTGGGATGAATGATCTATCTATCTGACCAAGAACTCATATTGCTATCTTGCCGGATTCTCGAATACAAAGGCTCGATTGCTCCAAGGCCATCTGCGGCGAAACAATCTCTCGCCATTTAGACGCATTTGAAACTTTTTCCGCTTCTAAGAATTATGGTCAGAAATACAGTCAAAATTCACGAGGGAAGAATAAAAAATGTACTTTTTGCATATACCAGTTTTCGTGTATACCTGCCCGGTCTCTTCGTTGATGCAGGTCTGGCTACAGCTTTGCCGTTCACCAATACAGTCGGTTGGGCCGGTGCACTCGGCAGATGCGAGGGCAGCATAGAGCGCGATGATGGAAATGATAAAACGCATGGTTGTCTGATACGGGAGAACAGGAAGTGGATGGACGTTAAGTTTAAATACATGGCCAATGTATACATGCTATGGTTGTAGGCCAGAATTATGTATGCGGGCCATTACGAATGGTGCGACATGGATTGGGGTAGGAAGTAAGCACTATACTCTACTACATACTGTAGTTTCATCAAGATTGCTGAAAACAGCCTAATATCTCTCTCTAATAAATTAAAAGGAAAGTGATCTACAGAAGACCCTGGTTATTATCTCCAGCGTCTCTATACACGAAGCCTTTGCTAGAAACCACAGGAGTAGATGCGATATTGTCTTCGAGCTTACTTGAGAAAAAGAGCAATCTCACAGTGACATACATTTCGCCGGCAGTACGATAAAGAGATATCCAGACATGATATCAATGCACGTACTAAAACAGCTTTGAAACGCGAGAAGGGAAGTGCTCGTATATTCTAGGTCAGCAATGTAACTAACAGAATATGGATAAAGTTTGTACACAGTTTGCAGAGAGCACACGGGCGGTGGTGCTGACACCTACTTAATCACTGAAACGAGTGACGTCCACGTCAAAGGGGACTAGTGCAGGGTGACACGTGACAGACCCGCCTGGACTGCCACATGGCAAGCGCGCGCCGAAGCAGCCGAGGCCCCAAGGATGCGCGCGACAACGATGCCATGTCCACACCGTTACCGGCTCCGCATGTCATCGCATCATGCCCGCCGCCCATCCGCCGTCCACCGCTCAATATTGTCTACATTCTCTGCTGCTTTGGCCCGGCTAATTTATTCGTGCATGCGGTGCTCAGATACGCCCGTACAAGCTCCTGTTCCCGATCAATGCCACGCTCCCCACGTGTGGGGGCGCGCCGTTCACCCTAGCAATGTCAGACTCGGTTGGTATGTGTTTGCATCTGTCTCGCCTCAAGGTTTGGATATAGAAGTGTTGACATGGAGAAACACAGATCGAGTCTTTAGCCATGCGCTCAACACTGTCAACAAGATCCGTACTGGATCGCAGAAGCCGCCGTCGGCGATACGGCTGCGGCTGTATGGACTGTACAAGCAGGCCATGGGTACGTTGCGATCGAAACTCTAATAGTAACAACGACGATGACTAACACATTGCAGAGGGCGATGTCGATGGCATAATGGACTGTCCACGAGGGAACGACGACCAGAGCCAGCGAGCGCGAGAGAAGTGGTATGTTGGGCACGCGACATATGGCATTCTTCTTGGCCGATAATATCAGCGCATAACTAACAACACCCCAGGGATGCATGGAAACAGCAAAACGGTCTCTCGCGCACAGAGGCAAAGCGCCGCTACATCACGACCCTGATTGATACCATGCACAAGTATGCTTCGCCCTCCCCAGACTCGAGGGAACTCGTCGCCGAGTTGGAATTTGTCTGGGACCAAGTAAAGTCCAATGTGCCATCGTCATCATCATCTTCGCCCTTGCGACACTCCGACCACATCCAGTCTGGTTACTCACAGCATGAATTGGGTGAGAGTCGGCGCGCAGCCATGGAAATGAGCGCGCCCCTCAGACGGAACGACGAAACACCAACAAGAGAGGCAGTGCGAGATATGCCGCTACGAGTCAAATCGCCCATCTCACAATCCGAGGAAAATCTCGAAGAAGAGGAGGCGGAAATCGATCGCGGCGAAGTATTCGTCGACGCCCCAGATTCGCAATACAATCCGACTTCCTACCCAGACGAAAATGATGAAAACGACGATACCAACAACCTAGAAGACGCCGGCGTCCAAACCGACCTCCAGAACCTCATGCGCGCAGAACCCATCCCCATTCAGACGCCGACTCCCGCCCCAAAATCCAGAGGCATGGCTGTCCTCGGAAAACCAATACAAATGCCCATCCCGGGTTTCGGCAGCACCCCCGGTCCGAACAACGCAGCCAAGGAATCCGCTGCCGACCAGAAATGGCGCAAGCGCGTCGAGCAATCCCTCATGAAGATGACGGCCGAAGTAGCCGCGTTACGAGAACAGCTAGAAGCACGTCGCCTATTTGCGCATTCGGCTCACTACCGACTGTTCAGAGGCATTTGGCGATGGGTCTGGGCGTGCTTCAAGCACGTGGTTGTTGATGCGGTTGTTCTAGGCATAGTGTTGTTATGGATGCGGAGAAAGAAAGACAAGAGGCTTGAAAGTACGATTCGTGAGGTGCTGGGGGATGCGCTGGCAAAGTTGGGGAGAGGCGGGGCTAGGATACCGTTTCTGGGAGGCAGGAAAGAAGCGTGATATCGATGGACGACAACGAATGTTGTATGAGTATGTGTGAAGGAGCGAGATAGTCACGCGGATAGTCAGTTTACAGAGTAACCCTACATAAGGGTGTCCATACATCGCTTTACAATACTACTAGTAATGACACACCGGCTTGTCCTTATCACCAACTAAACTCCCCAATCCCCCCATTCCAACACGACCACAACTCCACCCCTCCACTCTCCTCTCCCTCTCCCTCCACAAACTTCAACGACCGAATACTTTCCCACCCGCCCTTTTCCTTCTTCCCCATCTTCCCCTCGCACTTAATCTCCCTGACCATCTTGCCTGTATACAAGTTACTAACCCGAATCGCCGTCCCAGTCGCAAGATCCTGCGCTGCGGCCAACAACCCCAACCGCGGATGAACCGCGATATCCAAATCGAGTTCCTCGCGATTCGCATGTTCGAACACGAGAAGCGGAGTCGACACCGCCTTACGATTTCCATGCGTGTACTTCCTTCGTTTAGGGAAATTCTGGTGATGCTGGTTGTTGGATTTTGGTAGCTGGCGGGGAGATCGCAAGTCGTATAGACAGAGCGAGTCTTCGAGACCGGAGCATACGAGGCGGGAAGCGTCGTCTGCGCGTTTGAGCTTGGAGATCGGGTACGGGTGCGATAGGATGTGGCTTGATCCCCCGGAGCGGGTGTCATAGAGGCGGATGGAGCCGTCGCGGGAGCCGAGGGCGAGGGTGGTGTAGGAGAGCCATTCTAGGGCTAGGATGTCGGAGGAGAGGGGTTTAAGGGCGAGGGTTGAGTCCCAGGTTCCGCATTGGGAGCGGGTGAAGAGGAGGAGAGAGGAAGAGGCTGCGACGGCTAGATGCTCGGTTTGGGATGCTGCGATTGTGGTGGGGACGGTCGGGGGTGCGTTGAAGGATGTAGGTCGCGCGCTGGCGGTCCATATGGCAGTACAATCTCTAGGTGTAAATTTCTGGCCTACGTACTATAGGTTGAGAGAGGTTAGATATGATTTATGGCTTGATGATCAACTCGTGGAAATTGATGAGACATAGGTTTGCATGTCTGATACACTTACTGGCTGGTCGCGCTCTGGGTCACTGAGCCACACTTCAGGAGGTCGATCAGAACCGTATGTCGTTACAGCCAGGGCGCCAGTAGCTGGAAGATAGGTCAAGGATGATGCTGTCGACGTAGTACGTGTCACTTCATCCCATGGGTGAAAAGCATATGGGTTGGCAAGTAATGGGTCGTAGTAATCGCTAGGATCTGTTTCCATGGTTGGTGGATCATCTTTTGTACGTATGCGCTGCATATTGACGCTATTGGATCCTTGAACTGCATATATTGTGCGAGAGACTGGGTCTCTGTCGAAAACCCGTATTGATGCATGGCAGGGTCGTCTACTAATGACCTGTTTGGGCCGAGTGTTGATTCCGAAAGCACAAACATCTGTCCAGAGATTGTTGAAATAATATGACCGCCGCTTAGAGCCAAGCTCTCTCTCGATGCTAGTCTGGATGATGCTGTTTGGGTTTCGTCTAACAACTCTTTCTTTCCGAATTTTACTAGATCGAGCAGCAGCGGCTTTTTGTATCTTCTCTTTGTGTTCCGCTTTTCTAATATTTTCAGCCGAGTACCTGAGGTCTAAGCCACGTGCTGCGTTCTGGCTCTGGATCTTGAAATATTTCTTCTTCTCTGGATCCCAGTAAAATCCTGGAATCAGCTGGCCGTTCATCCTGGGATTCTGGAATGGAAACAGGAAGGGGTTCCTGAGTCACAGTAGGGTTTACGGGTGTATGCTGAAGTGTCCGAGAAAGGTTGAGATAGTAAGATGCAGTACGTCTGCAGAAGTCGGAACGCGTACAGCCTGTGAACGTGATGATTGGCTGGAAAAGTGGCGACGGCAGTTTATTCAAACACGAGTCAATAAGTATCCGGTAGTGCGCTATCGATAAGGACCTCCGAGGCATGACGCCACTGCTCCATCGAATTCACATCACTTTGAAATGCGCCTCTACATGCCGCCACCCTCCCTCATTCTCCTGCACTCCTATAACATTTGAAAACCCCTTAGCAGCGTATGTTTCGCCTCTCTTCTACGCTGCGACCTACACGGAAAACCCTTTCGTCGACCAAGTCCACTCTGAGAAATTTGTCAAATACGCCCGCACGACTAAACCAGGTCATGGCGCATTTGGATATTCCGCAGACGGAGAATGGCTCCTCTAGCGAGCTTCATACGCTGCATTCTATCCCAAAGTCTAATGTGTTCACCTCCAATCTTCCCGCGGATTCCGAATTTCCTACACCCAAGGCTTCTCACGATGCGCCCCGCGAGAAATTGGGACCGCGCATGGTCAAGGGAGCGTTGTATACATATGTGCGCCCTGATCCCGAAGGAGAGGCAGAATTACTAGCAGTCAGCCAACGTGCGCTTCAAGATATTGGTTTGAAGGAAGAGGAGGCCAAGACGGATGATTTCAAAGATGTTGTGGCGGGTAAGAAAATCCTGACATTGGATGAAAAAACCCCAGATGAAGGCATATACCCATGGGCTCAGTGCTACGGCGGCTACCAGTTCGGGCAATGGGCTGGCCAGCTTGGGGATGGACGTGCCATATCATTGTTCGAGTCCACTAACCCTGCGACGGGCACACGCTACGAGATACAACTCAAAGGTGCTGGCAGGACACCATACTCGCGTTTTGCTGACGGGCGAGCGGTTCTTCGCTCTTCCATTCGAGAGTTTGTCGTCTCCGAGTATTTGAATGCAATTGGGATCCCGAGTACAAGGGCTTTGTCCTTGACACTGAACAAGGGAAGTAAAATTATGCGCGAACGAATTGAGCCTGGTGCGATTGTTGCGCGATTTGCACAAAGTTGGATTCGTTTTGGAACCTTTGACCTGCAACGGATTCGTGGAGACCGTAAGACACTGCGAACGTTGGCAGATTACACTGCTGAGCATGTCTATGGCGGGTGGGATAAGCTGCCATCTAAGTTGCCTGTAGGTGATGCCAAAGAAGTCCACATGCAAACGCGCGATGGCGTTGCAAAAGATGTGGTTGAAGGTGAGGGCGAAACAGCAGAAAATCGTTATGTTCGTTTGTACCGCGCCATCCTCCGCCGCAATGCGGAAACCGTCGCCAAATGGCAGGCATACGGCTTCATGAACGGCGTTCTCAACACCGACAACACATCTATCCTCGGCCTCTCCATCGACTTTGGCCCCTTTGCCTTCCTCGATACATTCGACCCGACATACACGCCGAACCACGACGACCACATGCTCCGCTATAGCTACCGTAACCAACCCACTATTATCTGGTGGAACCTGGTTCGCCTCGGCGAAGCCCTAGGCGAACTCTTCGGCGCAGGAAACTACGTCGACGACGAGACCTTTGTCGAAAAAGGTGTAACAGAAGAGCAAGCACCAGGCCTCGTCAAATGCGCCGAATCAGCAATCGACCGCGCAGGTGAAGAATACAGAGCTGTCTTCCTAGCAGAGTACCGCCGTCTAATGACGCTGCGCCTCGGTCTCAAGACGCAAAAGGAGTCAGACTTCGACGTTCTCATGTCTGAACTGCTGGATTGTCTTGAAGCTTACGAGTTGGATTTCCATCATGCGTTTAGGAGACTGGGCGATATTCGACTTGCGGATGTTGATGCGGAAGATAAGAGGATAGATGCTGCAGGTCGGTTTTTCCGCAGCGATGCCGCGCCCAGACGCGAGAGCGAGGGTAGAGAGAGGATTGCGAAGTGGCTTGATAAGTGGGCGGAACGCGTCAGGGAAGATTGGGGCGAGGGAAAAGATGAGGACAGGAAGGCAGCGATGGATGCTGTTAACCCAAAGGTATGATTGACTTCCCCCTTTCGTTCTCCAAGTTGGAACCGTCAAGCTAACTGATTGATGTATAGTTTGTTCCCCGCTCTTGGATCCTGGATGAACTCATTGAGCGAGTCGAGAAGAAGCACGAACGTGATATCTTGCCGCAGGTTATGAAGTTGGTGCTCAATCCCTTCCAGGAAGAATGGAAGTGGAATTCAGACGAGGAAGAGAGATTTTGCGGAGATGTGCCAAAGTACAGGGGAATGATGCAATGTAGTTGTAGTTCCTAGACTTGAGACTCGATTTTTCTCAAGAGAGCCTCGATCATCTAATATCAATGGTATCAAACAAGTTTAAACAGTAAAAAGAATCTAGTCCACACCTCCAACCAGATACTCGCCCACCTCTACATTCACCGTCCGCCCCAACGCCCTCGCATACTCCCACCCAAAATTCACTCTCCACCTCGCCCCGGGCTCTAACGCATCATTCGTGCCTGCGCCTCCCGCGCGAACAAGCAAGCGCATACTCGTTAGCGTAGCAATCTGTGTGTACAAATCTGCCACTTGAGGCACCGTCCCATCGAGTAGTGCGCGGAAGATAGCTAGCAAGCGGTCTAGCGTGAACGGGCTGGGGGTCAAGAGGTGTCGACTAATTTTCCGATGCTTGGAACCGGTGCGTTTACCGGTGACGCTGAAAGAGGCGGCGGTAGGGGCGCGGCGCTTGTTCTTGCGCTTATCTGTGTGTTTCATAAAGTAGGTTACATCTGTGCGGGGTGGGTTGTAGGAGGCGAGGTATGCGGCGATGAGGATGTGGGTTGTAAAGTAAGGGAGGGTGTGAGCGGTCATGTTTGCGAGTTTCTTTTTACTGGGCGTGGCGGGGGTTACGGTGTCGTTGGTTACAGGGTCAGCGGTGCTGGGGGCAACAACGATGCGATCCAGGACTGAATCTTCGAGTTGGAAGAGGTGGCGCCGGTTTACCATTAAGCGGGAGAAGTCGCGCGTGCCGAATTGGCCTGATATTATGGGCTCGACAAAAGGCCACCATAGGCGCATGGCACAATCTTTGAAGCTGACCAAGTCTCTGCCTGTGTGTTTGGCGAGAGAGTCGTATACGGCTTGTAGGAAGCGGCCCCAGAGCCATGCATCATCCTCAACAGCAAGATCTGGGGTATAGTCGGGAAACTGTTCGAGAGACGGTGGGTCGAGGAAGATTTTTGGCGGGCTTGCACCTAAGATGGCGATAAGGTCGGTGCGTGAGTAAGTTGGGAAATGGAGGAATAAGGTTGAGGAAGAGTGGAGGACGGAAGGCGCAAGTGGTAGGGTTGTTGAGAGGATAATGGAGAGATTGGGCATCTTTGAGAATTATTAGTAAAGCATCTTTCGAGTTGATACAGCCAGAGACATACCGATTCTCCCAGTCGTCCCAGTGCAGCGATCAATGTTCCTCCCCCTTCACGCAGCTTGTCCATGGCATCTAGCACTAGGACAAATTTCCCTCTTCCCTCCAGTAGTTTTCCCATGTTCACACATAGCGCGCTTAGGTTCTCTGTTCGCGCATATGGTCTCCTATCCGTCTTCTCGTCGTGGAACTCGTCAAGAGCATCGAGAGTAGATGCGACGATGCGCTCGACAAGATGGCGCGTGGTGATGCATTCGCGGACGTTGATGATGACATGGCATAAGCGTGACAGGTGAAAGAAGGAGCGCAGGATGGATGATTTGCCCGTTGCTGTCAGGCCGTGTATGTTGAGCAAGGGTGGAGATGGGAGATGGGCCTGTTATTGTTTATCAACACAATGAATGTATACTGAAGGCTAGAAGTGCGTCCTACACTATAGAGAGCGGCAAGATGCTGTATTTGGTGATGGCGACATTGGAACTCGGCATCCAGCTGCGTAATGATTTCGTCGGGCAACATTGTCGCGATGAGTGGTTGTTGAAGCCAAAGTGCCAGGGTGGGACGGGATGCCGCCGTCGCGCTACATCGACGCTAAACGCGACTGCACGTGCGCCGCGGATAGAATAGTCACGACGCCAAGCCTCTTACTATCTTCCTTGTAACATCTCCTTTGTACCAACAACTAACACCCTTTTTTGTCAAAATCTGCATCTGTCCAGGCACCACACACATGATTTTGCTCACCTGGCCATGTATGCAGTCATTTGACATGACGGCATGTGGCTTACCTATCCATGAGCATCACTGCCTACTGCCTCCAGCTGCGGGGGCGCAGCATCAGCCTGACGTCCTTCCTTGAATTCGTCCCTCATCTTCTGCCTCTGTAGAATACCTCTCAGCACATCTCTAAGCATATCTCTTAGTATTTCATGATTTTTTAGACTCCTATGGATACAGCTGCCAGCCTTATCGCAATTGCGACACTCTGCGAGAAACTCATCAAGTACATTAACGCCACCCGTGCGGCCAAGGATGACAGGCAACGCCTTCGCTCACAGATACGGGCATGCAGCCATATCATCCTTCAACTCAAAGACGAAGCCGAGGACTCTGAAAACTCTGAGGAAAGCGAGGAATGGGCCAAGTCAATGCAGTTACTGTCCAGTCCACTCCATCGCCTTCATGAGGCTCTGAGCGTAGCAGCTCAGGCTCTTTCCCCTCGGGACAGCGCCATAGAGAAACTGAAATGGCCTTTCAAGGAACAAGATGTACGGAAACTAATAGACGCTGTAAGATGTGAGATGGACTTATTGTCCTTGGCTCTGGACAGAAATTCAACACGGCTGCTGCAAAAGATCAGTCTTCACTCCCAACACAACGAGCAGCTACTTTTGGAGTTGAAAGCCGCGCTGGGGACTCGAGATGTTGACCATCAGTTTGCTCTTGAAAACGTCGCAAAAAAACTCGGGAGACTTGAGATGGGCCAGCATGGCGTCCAAGGACAAGTTCAGCAGCTGCACGAACGCCACGACTTAGAGGAAGCCATACAGAAGCGACAGTCCATCCTTGAGTGGCTAACTCCTATTGATCATGAATCTCAACAGCGCGACGCCATTCGTTCACGACAAGCTGGAACCGGCCAATGGCTGCTAAATTCACAACAGTATCAAGACTGGCTCGCTGGAAAGCATCGTACATTGTTCTGCCCAGGAATACCGGGCGCAGGAAAGACGGTTCTGGCTTCCATAATCAATGAGGATCTGAAGCACCGATTCCATGTTGACCCCCAAATTGGCCTTGCCCATCTGTTTTTTGACTACCGTCGCCAGGATCAGCAGTCATTAGAGGTTCTCCTTTCTGGCTTGCTGAAACAGCTTGTTGCACAACAGCTACCATTACCTAAACAAGTGGAAGCTTTCTACACAACTCACCGACAGAAGTACTCTGGTCGGGTCAGTACAGTCGTGCCGACCTTGGAAGTAGTGATTGCGAGCTTCTCAAAGGTCTTCATTGTACTAGACGCTGTTGATGAATGTCTGGCCCCCGAACAAAATTGTACAGACTTCTTATGTGTCATACAAGAGTTGCAGGAAAGGCATAAGCTCCAACTCCTCGCCACATCACGTGTTATTCCGGAGGTCACCGAGCGATTTACGGATGCTTCCATATTACAAATCCAAGCAGATGCTCAAGATGTTCGAAAGTACCTCACTCAACAAGTACATCGACTTCCAGGCTTCGTACGAAAAGATGTAGAACTGCAAAATGAGGTAATCTCCAGCATCGTTGAAGCGGTGCAAGGGATGTGAGTTAGTCCTTAGTCGTGTCAGACGTTATTCTAACTATGTAGGTTCCTCCTTGCCAAGCTTCACTTGGACTCTATGCTTGGGAAAAGGTCCGTAAAAGCACTACGAAATTTACTCCATAGTCTCGCAACGGGATCAAAGGCCTACGATGCTGCATACGAAGATGCGATGCTCAGAATTGAAGGGCAAATTGATGATCAAAGAGAGCTGGCAAAGGAAGCATTGGCCTTTCTCACCTGCACTAAGCACCGCTTTTCAAAGCTAGATTTGGAGATGGCACTCGGTGCAGAGTTTGATAACCCAAAGATCGATCCGGACAACTTTCCAGACATAGATGACATCGTAACTGCGTGCGCTGGACTTGTTACAATCAACGATGAGAGCGACACTGTCGGGTTAGCCCATTATACCACACAGGAATACCTTGAACGAACACAGCAACGCTGGTTTCCACATGCGCAGGCCCTCATCACAAATGCATGTCTCTCCTATCTCTCATTTCCCTCCTCTCCACTCAGTCAAGATGATTGGGCTGTTGGCTTGGGTGAAACTTGGGCAAGTCACGATTGGTGTACCTACAGTGTGAAGAATTGGGGTCATCATGCTAGCCAAGTCCCCGATAGTCATGGAAGGGTCATGGCAGTCCTCAACCAAGCAACAGATTCAAGGTCCAGTATCGGCTTTTTGTATCACGAGCTTACAGGCAATTGGATTTTGTGGCCGCACATCGAAATAGACGAGTCTTTACTGGAAGGCTTGCATCTGGCAGCCTATTTTGGTCTTGAGGCGGCCTTTGTTGCATTGCTGAAGCAGGCAGTGGATCAGTCTTTAGAATTCAACGGAAAGGATCCATCGCTAACAACTGCATTGGCGATTGCAACTTACTATGGCCACGAAGCAATCGTCAGACAGCTGCTACTACACGGTGTCTCGATCGAACCTTCGATTCACTCGCCGCATTCTAATGGCTCAGCTACTGTCATGCATCTCGCTGCAATGAGAGGACACAGTATCGTTCTCAAGCTGTTCCTAGATCACGGCGCCGATGTCAATCTGCGCAATTTGGAGGGCAAGACTGCTTTGCACTTTGCAGTCGCTTGTGGTAGTGTCCCAGCTACAATGGTCTTGCTTGAGGCGCAAGCTAACGTTAATATCTGTGATGAGTGGGGCCAGACTCCATTGCATAAGGCAGCGGCAAACAAAAGTGGAAATCTTGCAATCGTCCAGCAGCTGATCAAGCATGGAGCCGCAATTGACCTGTGTGACGATGTAGGAGATACAGTTCTACATCATGCACTTACTGGAGGCAGTATTCTTTGCATAAAACTGCTGGTCGAGGCGCAAACGGATGTAAACGCTGCTAACATTCAAGGAATGACTCCATTACACCGTGCGGCGGCAAGAGATGACGCGACGATTCTCAAATGTCTTCTTGATCTCGGCGCATCTGTCGAACAAACTACCAAGACCGGATTCACAGTGCTGATGTCGGCTTGCTTGCTAGGGTCTCATTTTCAGGAAAAATTGGAAATCCTCCTCGCAGCCGGAGCGGATCTGCACGCGCTAGACTGTTACAACCACTCTGTACTGGTTTGGGCTATGTATCTTGAACCGAGGCCGGATCTCCTGCGGTTCTTACTTGAGCAGGGCGCGGATCCTAAATTGGGTGTATCCCCCTTATCATATGCTGTGTCACAGTTTGCCGAAGATAAGACTAGTACTTTTCCATCACGACAAGATTCGGTTGGCGGATCTATTAACTCTTTGCAGTCTGGTGGGTATGACTCGGATCGGACCTTTGCGGGCCATACTGTAGAGAATTTTGAAGGAATCAACAAACAGGCTAAAGAAGAATGGCTGGTTCGGAAGCGAAATTGGGAGGCGTGTATTCAGATACTCAAAGAGTTTGGCGCAGAATGAAGTCTAGCGTGGACGCAGGATTATACCCAAGTGTTTCTTTCTATCACATATTTCACTATCTTCTTTTCTTTACTTTCCGCATCTTCTCTTACCTAGCCATGTATACGAGAAGCTAGTCAATCAATACAATCCTTACTCAAAAAAAATCTTTGTAACTTCAACAACAGTGACTAGAAGAGAAAATCACTTTTCACGTATCCCTTTCTTACCTCTAAGTAAATTTTGCAAGTGAACATGATTTACTGAGAGAATTTATGAACAAGGTACCTCGATAAACAGCAGCAATTATCGCGCAAGCAAGATACATAATTCCATAGCTGCGATAAATCGACATTACCACCACATCATCCGGCTCAAGGTACTTCGAAAACCCCTCCTTCACACCCCCTTCCCATCCTTGCCCTCCTCCCTCTCACTCTCAATCTCAACACTCGCCTCCACCCTCTCGGTCATAAGATGTTTAACCCCCCTCATAGCAACCACCGCAACAGTCGCCAGCGCCACAAAAGGCACTATACTCCAAAACGCCAGTCGATAAGCTCGCGCATAAGACCAGTAACTTGCATTCCACGCTGCCGCAATAATCGCTTCGTTAGCTCCAGGTACAGCACTCGCCTTAAACGACGATGCAGATTTGCCCTTCATAGCAGCCAGAAGCGTGGGTACGGAGGAAGCGGGCAAGCCGGCAGCTGTGGCCGCAGATCCAACGTCGCGGGCTAGATGCGAGGCTATACGTGAATTCACGATTGCGTAAATGACAGCGGTGCCGAAAGAGCCGCCAATGGCGCGAGCAGAGAAGGCGAGACCGGTTGCTGTGGAGAGGAAGGCGTGGGGCGCGGTGTACTGGATGCATGCGACGAGGAGGGTCAAGGGGCCTGCGCAGCCGATGCCGGTGAGGGCTGTGAAGACGATTTGGAGGGTGCCCCAGGAGGGTTTTATGAAGGCGAAGCATATGGATGCTATGAGCATTATGAAGAAAGTTACGGCCAAGGGTGTTTCTATAGGTTGATTAGTTGGAGGAAGATTGGAGAGAGTAAGGGGGTAGAGACGGACTTAGGTCTTTGAATTTGGTGGCCCACCATGTTACAGCTAGGGAAGTGAAGATGGAAGCGATTTTGTAGGAGAGTTGGCGGATTGCGATGTTCCAGGAGTCGTCTTCGAAACCGAGATTGAGGATGACTTGTGGGGTTACGGCGTTGATGGCGGAGTAGTAGATCCAACCTTCAATTGTGAAGGCGAAGGTTGAGAGCCAAAAGTTGGGGCCGGTGGAGAAGAAGACGTGGGCGACTATGCCGTCTGATCTTCCTTTCCATTCTGAGTGTGTTAATGGGTTTCTTTGAGGCTATTGGGGAGACTATACCGTAGAGACAAAAAGCTATAAAGAGAACGATTCCACATGTCAAGTTTGCACATACATGCGGGTCGCTCCATCGATATGCGCCACCTGCCCAGTTGAGAGCAAGGAGCATCAGAGTGGCAGCGGCAACGAGCAAAAAGGATCCGATAGGATCGCATGCCCATGCCCATTCCTTGAAGCGCATTCGCGGGTAGTCTGTTCTTTTCTTAGGCCAATAGAACGCGAAAAGACCTAGTGATGTGATGCCATGGAGTGCGACCTGGATCCAGAAGATGTATCGCCAGCCGGAAGCGCTGAGGTTTGTGACGGCTCCCGCTGCTAAACTACCAACACTACAAGTTCGTTAGTGACAAAGGCCGTTGCAATTAGATGATGAAGTTCAACGTACGTGCCTCCCATCACACCTGCAACACCGGCAAGTCCGTTGGCCAAAGCGCGGTACTTCAAAGGGAGGATTTCAGAGGGAATGGATTGGACGATGGAGATTGTGGCAAGCGTAGTGCCAATGAGGATACCACCACCAATCAACATGGACATGCTGGTGGCTTTCGCACAAATGATGGCACCAACGCATGCTATCAGAGGTGGTATAGTGGCGAATAGTTTGCGATCAAGGACGTCTGATAGACGGCCGACGGGTGGCGAAAGGACTGATTGCATGAGCAGCGGGCCCTTGCTTCGATTAATCATTCACTCGGTAGTATTGATATTTGGTGGAACGCACTTGAATGATCCAGCTAGCAATTGCGGGTTCGCCCAGCTCGCGAATGATGAAGGATAGGACGGAACCTGCAGCTACAACGACAAAGACCTGAGACATGACTCTGGGTTGAACGTAAGACTACTTTCCGGCTGGTTGAGAGTATACGACATACGCAAAGCAACAGCAGAAAACAACAACCCATGATCGCCAAGAGAGGTTGACATGCTTGACGTCCTCGTTTGCCTCTTGGTCAATGGGCACAATGTGTGCGGTGCGGCTATGGGCAACCTCGACCCGAGTGGTTTCTGTTTTATCATCCATAGCTGCTCACTTGGAATTGCAAAACGATAGAATGAGGAGGGTAAGGAAAAGAAAGACCATTCCGCATGGTTGTGGATGTGCTGCAGCAGGACTAGACTGTCTACGGGCATGCCTTAGGCAGGCTGTCATGTGGGCGAGTGCTACGGGCGTTTTCCCCCACGGCCTTGCATATCGGCAAACGACAACGGCCGGGGTAACAGGATGGTTAATAGTCGTCTGGGTGACATTTGCCGCATTTTGGGGAAAGCTGCATGCGGGGGTCCGTATTGGGGGAAGATTGGCACTTTCCTGCTGTCATGGTGGTGCGGGGAAGTATGCATTGGATCCGGGCTCTTGCCTAGTCTTGCTGTCTCCTTTTTGAGTTGATCTTTCTTCTTGCTGGACTAAATACGGCGTAATGACGATGTACTTGTACCCTCCATAGTAGGTGGTGAGGAACGAACTGGTGGGGGTTGAATGAATGAGGAAAGGCCAAGGCCGGGGGAGAGGCAGCGCCGCCCCGCTGGACCCTGAGATTGGGGTTGATTGCTTTCAACTTTTTTTCCCTTGTCACACTCTCTTCCGTCAACCCAAATTGAATCCACACAATCTGCAAATATTCAACCGCTCAGCTCAGTCCATAGCACTACTTACGCCCGCCTGAGCATAGTTCCATCCCACCAGGCCGTGTTATGAGCACCCAAAGCGCACTCGCGGGCCGTCTGGTCCCGCTACGCACCAAGGACGAAGTGCGCGCCAGCTTGGAGACACACCCGGTCTATGTAGTCGAGGTGCCGGCCAAGTTTGCCAATTCCATCAAGGAGTGAGAGACTCACTCGCTGTGCATGTGCTCGACTCGTCTACTAACTTTGCAGTGCCGTCCAAGCTGCCCTGCCCGACTTCAGGACGTCCGAGATCTCGCATTTGCGCCGCGTTGTACAGTTCAAGTACCTACCGCCACATCTGCAAAAGGATTTCTATCCGCCGACAAGGCTCCCGAGAGGTGACGAAGATGATCCTGCCTTAGCATTTTTATCTTCCTCTCCTGCATCCTCTCCTGCACAACCAGGCAGTGCCCAGACTGCTGACGAAGCTCTTACTGAACATTTTGATTTAGTTCGCTACTTTTTGCTGTGTCCCACACGCTATCTCAGCCGTGCCGACCTCGTAGCTATCATACGCACATGTCCGCCCTATGACGCAAAGACTGCTCTCCCTCGCATCTTCCATGTGACGGTGCCAGCCCTGGCGCCCATCTCCGCAAATCAGGCCGCACAGTGGAGCAATGCATACTGGCCTATCTCGTACAAAAACACCAATCCCTATGGCCCTCATCCAAGCCTCGTACAACGCAACCAGGACGACATCCAGCCCGGAGTGGGGACCTATCTTGGCTTGGCGAGGGCTGCTGGGGCGCAGATATCTGATGAATGTCTAGGTGAAGAAATCGGTGTTGTCGTTGTCGATCATACCAAGACAAAGCCCGATATCATTGTTGTCGCTGGTGACTGTCGCTGGAGATCCTTCACTGGCACAGCCGAACCCCACAATGGCACCGGCAATGTCATGGCACACTCTGTTTTGCGTGCCATTGCCATGGTTGCAAAGAAACGACTTCGCGCTGCTGGCACTGATCCCGTATACTTGGACCGCCCACTCTTCTGCGACAGCCCCCTCACCTCAGTCGAGCAAGAATATTTCGAGATCAACAACATCCATTCCAGCGGCTATTTGTGCGTTGACCTAGACATTTACCTGACTCACGAGCCCTGTGTCATGTGCTCAATGGCCATTCTACACTCAAGGTTCAGGCGATGCGTTTTCGCCAAACGTATGCCACACACCGGAGGCATGACGGCAGATAGCCCGGACGACTCATCGACGGCTCCCACCGGTCTGAAGAACGGCCTATTTTGGCGACCAAATGAACTCAACTGGAAGTTCCTGGCTTGGGAGTTCAAGGAGGATGGGGAGCCAGTTCACGGTGCAATGGGCCTAAAAGATACCCTGCATGCTTAGATTCGGATGCTCGTGTGGGACACTATTGGATAATTAGCATTGTCATGGCGCATTGAGTTAGTGTTCTTTCGTCCGGTGGCCATTCGAATATGATTTAGACAAAATATGGAACTAGGGACGGGCTACTTGAACATTGTAATTAGTCGGAATGAAATCCAAGCCTCAGACGCGTGGGGATCCAACATCCATATGTATGAATCCTTGTCGAGCTACCGGTAACCCCGATGAGTCGAGCCGCCTCGAAGGATCGTTCCTGGCTTTACTTCATGAAGACTAGCCAGCTGTAGGCTTATTTAAGCGTCTTTGGCCCCCAAGTATGGCAAGATCTAATATCACAAAGCAAACTACTATTCTGATCAAAGAGACTAGGTCGTAACCAACACCATGCATCTCCGTCCCGCCCAGCCTTCGGACGAGCCAGCCATAGTCTCGCTATGCGCCCGCGCCTTTTACAACGAGGACCTGTTCGGTCGAGTCATGCACCCGCATAGGGATCAATACCCCGAAGACTTGGAAATCTACTGGCGGGCAGTCGTCCGCCGCGAGTGGGCAAACCCGCGCAACAGGGTCTTCGTCGTCGTGCGTCGCAGCGAATCCCAACCGCCTCAAAATGGCGACAAAAATGAAGAAGATGAAGTAGTCGGCATGGCAATCTGGCAGCGTCAAGGCGACGACGCAACCGCTCAGAAAATAATACAAGAACACACCGACCCGACCCCTCTCTTCGCACACGTCGCACCCCGCCAAAACCGCGCCGCAGACCCCAGCAAAAAAGACCACCTCGCCAACTCTGCAAAATACACCCAACACTACTGGTCAGGCGTACACTCAGAAAACTGGTACCTCTCCCTCTGCGCCGTGGACCCCGCTCACGCCGGCCGCGGCTACGGGCGCCTGCTCGTACAATGGGGGCTTGAGCGTGCGCGCGAGGAGGGAGTCGATGCGAGTGTTGTTTCGAGCGAGGGGTCGCCACCGTTTTATCTGCGGTGCGGGTTCGATGAGGTAGTGGGGAACGCGCATGAAGGGGAGGGGAATCCGCTTAAGGTGGATGCGGTGAGGGGTGGGGATATTTTGTTCATGTGGGGGAAGAAGGGGAGGGAGTAGACGGGGTGGGAAGGTTGACGTTTGGGATAGGATGTTTTGATGTGCGTTTACGAGGCTGTTTTGGTAAGATTGGGGGTTATTTCCTGGGTTATTCCCCGTGTAACAGTCGTTTTTCTGTGTAAGGTTAGAGACGGAAATAGAATGTGTATTGTCATCAATAGATCGACAGTAAGCGGCGGCGGAATCTGACCTAGTAGTGCGCTTACGTTCCGCATTCGTCGTGTGATAGTGTAAAGGGAAAGAACAACAAACACCCGGTACAACGGTTCGTGATATGAGTTTCCTTTCTGCTTTTCGTTATGGCAAGTTACTGTATGTGCATTCTGAATAGAGAAAAATGTCATTGAATCGCGTATTCTGGTGCCATGATTGAGGGACTGGACCGTCTATATAAACTTGAGCAAGAAACCAAAAAAAAAGAATCACCAAGCGATAACACAAACACAATCTCCTCACCTCCAATCTTTTACCACCACCAAAAAAAACAACCCAACCCAATCATCCACCATGTACCTCACCACCGCCATCCTCACAACCACCCTCCTCACCACCCTCACCTCGGCAACCATCATCCTCGGCCACGCCAACTACAACGACGGCCACAAAGATACGGCGGTATGGATCCAAGGCCAAGACGCCTGCGCCTACACGTACATGGGCCACGACAGCCCCTGCGCCTACAACGGCGGCAACTTTGTCGCTTCAAACACGTTCCACTACCGCATCGTCAACTGCGACAATGGGCAGCCGTTTACGCTGCAGAATGAGGATGGCTCGAAGAATGCAGAGGCTGTACTTAATCCGATTGATGACTTGGTGCATTGTCCTGGCGGCTATACGATGGGGCAGACTTGGGTTTTTTAGATAGATGAGTGGAGTGGGGGGGAGAGATACTGACTTGTTCGCTCACTTTGTTTGATCTGATATTTGGGTAGTTTGGAAAGGGAGAAAGATGGGTAGTACTCAGTCTTTTAACGCTCGTTTCAGTTTTGGCTTTTTTTTTGTTGTTGCGGCGGTTTGTATAGATGGAGAGGAAAGGCTTGAATTCAAGGTTTCGAGAATATCTGCTAAAGTTCTTGCTGAAGTGCCTTTTGTGTGCTTGGAAATGCGTGAGGTCGTGTTTTTTTTGTGATGCGGTCATGTGGTGAAGGGTGGGTATGCTACAACACGATGCCAGGACCAAGAAAAATAGCGGAGACACAGGGATGGTTAAGACAGTAGTACAACCGTGGACCTAGCGGAGCTGCAAGCAGTAGCCAGGATAAGTGGAGTGTATTATCACAGGCGCTACACCTCATCAGTAGTTCATGTGTCGGTGTCATGACAGGATATGCTGGGTTATAATTTATTTGTCTACATTACCATTACATTATTGGCATTTTTACTTTGGCAAGCGAAGTTTGCCAGGGACATATGCTCCTGCATCGGTGCGAGCAGGCTCGTTTTTCACCGTCCACTCGACGTCTTTTCTGATGAACAACTGTTCTGTGCTTCGTTGGCTGGACCGCCGTTCCAGATCTACACTCTTGTTGCCCGTCGTTGTATCTTCGTCCACTATCGATAACCGCTCCTCAGCTCGTACTATGTCCTCCCTTTCATGCCTCGATTCTGGAGATATTGAGCCCCCGGTCCGGGTAGTCATCAATACTGACATATCATACACTTCGTGCCGCGCTGACTGCGATGCACTGTGGCAGATCGTGTAGTCGTGGCCGTACCTCCCTGATGACTTGGAATTGTATCCAAATCCTGGTTTGACACCGCTGCCCGTGTCGAAGCTCTGAATGAAAGATTTCAAACAGGGAATGGTGCTGGCAAGAAGCGAGGCGCAGACTTGACATTGCTGGAGCTCCAATGCGCCTACACGGTCTACACCAGGGTTCGCACTGTGCAGTGCCTTTCTCCAAGATAAGAAGAACAGGCTCGTGAGTAGAAGCAGAGGTAGGCGTAGCCCGAAGATGCCGAGGACTTGTAGTTTAAACGATATGGACATTTGGAGATTGCGGATGAGGTAGGTAGGGGTGAGTGCGAGGATAAAGTCGGTTAGGGCGTCTGTGGCAGTGACGAACAGATAGCGACTCTCGATTCCTTCGCATATCTGGGAAGAGGTTCGCGGCGATAGAGTGGTAGCGGGACAACCGATTGAGACGAGGAACGCAGAGGCGATAATCCAGATGACGACGATGCCGGTGATGAAGACGCAGGTTTTCCAGGCATTTCGCATTTCTCTCGTGAAGAGGCGCTGGACTAGGAGGATGGTGGAGAGCTTGGAGAAGCCGAGGCAGATGTAGACGACTACTTGGTTGCTGGAATATGCCTGTTCAAATTGGATTAGACATATGTAGTTTCGATGTGTCATGCTAGTCAGCAGAAAGAGTGTTTACCCATGCCATGCGCGTATACTGCGCATCGGTCAAGGTCCCAAAGGACTTTGCCAGTCCTGCCGACAACGACAGGAGCAGCAATGAAAATTGAATCAAGTCCGTCACCTAACATCTGCGTCAATTTCACACAAGGCTTATACGCGGAAAAAAAAGTAAGCTCACCTGTGCAAGCAGCACAGCCGCATCATCCAATCCCAACATGCGCCATTTGATAAATATGCGCGTCAGAAACGTAAGGCTGGTGTATATGAATGACAGAAACGTGACAATGTACAGCACCCCGCTTTGATCGTCGTCTGTAATGCGAGCCCACCGATAACTGCGATCTACAGGTAGAACTTCCGCCGCTGCCATTGTGAACAAAAGGGTGGAACGCGGGAAGCCCCCGCTGATCAAGTTTCTTCAAAATCACAGAGTGACCACGTGTGTAGAAGAAAGGGGGTACCGGCGACACATGAGTACTATCTTCTTGTTACACAAAGTCCGTCGCACAGCGCTCTGATCCTTCCAATCGCTTCTGCGTCACAGTTACCAGCCTCACACCATGGATGTTGCTGCGGCAGACGCAAAAACGTACATGGGACAATGTGCGGTAGTTGATGGCTGGAATTCAGCCGGCACGCAATTTATCTCGTATCATGCTGCAGCCATGGCAAATACGGGACGGGAGGCGTTCTTCGGGATTTTGCCCTGATAGATCTTTCTATGACTGTGTGTTCCTCACGTTCTAGTGGTGTGCCGCGCAAGGTTAGGATCCCGCTGCTCTGTCGACACACAGACGGGACATGGGTTCGTGGGGGGAAGGACGGACGGACGTTGCATCGCTTGCATCGAAGAACAAGAGTGGCTCTAACCGCTCGCCCCGGCCCGCACCCCTGCCGAAGCCTTTACTTTACAGCTACCCATGCTCCATTCCGTACGAAGTGGTACAGCACGCTAGATCCTGCCGAATCCTCTTTGCTCGGACCTTTGCACCTTCACGGAAATCCACGACCGGTTGGATTTGCGGCACGGGGGACGTCTTGGGACAAATGGGCGAATCAGAACTTGCACCTGCACAACGGCCTGACGACCCGAGGGAGAACTGGATCCACTCGTTTGTAGATTTGCTGTGCATTGATCGTCCGTCGTTGCATCCCCAGCATGTGCAGCAGTCCAACGCGACCTCGACCCTTCGCTAACGCGGCTCGAACGTGGTGGTTTGACATGTCGTCCTGCTTAGAACGACCTACCTAAACGCGAAAGGGCCGAAAGAACTAAGCGCATCGATGGGAAATAGCCGGTGATAAATGGGGTATTATGTGCGTTTGCAACAGAAGACATGGGAAATGCGGTTTTTACGCAATTTTTTAATCATACGATTAATATCTCTTCATCGCTGCTAGTAAGGGTTTGGCGAGATTGTTCTTCCTTGGGGGGAGGTTTTATTCGACTTTTAGCCACGCCACACCCGGTACGCCTTACCATCCCGCACAGTGCTTATTATCTGGATCTTTACATTCGTTTTCTTTTTGTGCTCGTTTCTGTTGGTCAATCATGTCGGAAACAAAGGCTGTCGAGGCGGTAGTCTCGTTTCCCGCCGACAGCGAACTCCAGCAAGATGGTGTCATTTCGGAGAAGAAAGGTACGGTTGGCGACCAAAAGGACATGTACCGCATGGGAAAGCAGCAGGAACTGCGACGAAACTTCCGCTTCGTGTCCATTTTCGGATACTCCATGGTCCTCATGGCAACATGGGAAACCGTCTTGACGTACGTAAGGGGTTCGTACAGTTGGTTTTGTGTGGTCTGACATTTTCCAGTACTCTGATCATCCCCCTGACCAACGGTGGCACCGGTGGCGCCATCGTCATGTTCCTCGTCACAGCAGTATGCATGGGATTTGTGATTGTGTCCATGGCTGAAATGGCTTCAATGTGAGTAAAATGCTCTTTTACTGGTTCTCGCGCAAGCAGTTCAAGCACACTGTTGCATAGTCCCTGCGTAGATCTGGTTCTACAAAAAGGAAGGCGACAAGGCATGAAAATGCGCCACCACGGTTACTATGGCAGTCACTGACATGCGAAAAGGGCACCTACCTCTGGTGGTCAGTACCATTGGGTCTCGGAATTCGCTCCCCGAAAACATCAAAAATTTCTCAGTTATGTTGTCGGTTGGCTGTGCGTCTTGGGTTGGCAGACGGGTATCGCATCCATTGCCTACCTAGCTGGTGGCCAGATCCAAGGCCTCGTCATTCTCAACAACCCCGACTACATTCCTGAAAGATGGCACGGCACTCTACTCGTAATCGCCGTCGCCACATTCTCCATCATCTTCAACACTCTGCTAGCCCGCAAGCTTCCCCTCGTCGAAGGCATCGTCCTAGTCCTCCATATCTTCGGTTTCTTCGCCGTCTTCATTACCATGTGGGTGTTGGGGCCACGCAGCTCGGCCAAAGAAGTATTTGGAGGTTTTCAGGACAATGCTGGATGGGGTAATGTAGGGCTGTCCGTGCTGGTTGGTCAGCTGACACCCATCTTCGCTCTGCTGGGTGCAGACGCGGCGACGCACATGTCCGAGGAGCTGAAAGACGCTTCCTACACGCTTCCTCGTGCCATGATTGCCACAGCAGTTGTAAACAGCATCCTCGGTTTCCTCATGCTCATCACCTTTTGCTTCTGCCTCGGCGACGTGAGCACCGTTCTCAGCACCCCAACCGGCCAACCCCATATCCAGGTTCTATACAACGCAACGAAATCGATCCCAGGAGCCACCGTCCTCGCATCTATTACCACCATCATGGCCGTCTTTGGCTGCGTCAACAACGTCGCTACGTGCTCGCGCCAGCTCTTCGCTTTTGCCCGCGACAACGGTGTCCCCTTTAGCGCCTTCTTCTCCCGCGTCCAGCCCGGATGGGACATTCCTCTCAACAGTGTCTTCATGTCCTTTCTCATCGCCTGTCTGCTTTCTCTCATCAACATTGGCAGCTCCGTTGCCTTCAACTCCATCGCCTCACTGGGCACATGCGCGCTGCTATCATCCTACATCATCAGCATTTCGTGCATGTTCATCAAGAGGTGGAACAACGAGCCACTGATTCCCTGCAAATTCTCTCTCGGACGTGCTGGTATCTGGATCAACGGCATCTCTATCGTGTATCTATGCATCGCGCTTGTGTTTGTCTTCTTCCCTACTTTCCCTCACCCAACAGCTGCGCTCATGAACTGGAACATCTTGATCTATGGCGTCGTTGTCATCTTTTCGTTCATCTACTTTGCTGTCAAGGGGCGCAAGGTATATGTTGGGCCTGTTGAGTATCTCAACAAGGATTTGTAGATGGTATGTTGGGAAAATTGGTAGTGGCCATTGGGTTGGGTCTCTTATAAAAGTTGAATGATTGGAAACTCTAGTTTAAATTTCCATATAATCTGCCATATACCAGAGCTGCAAAGTATGAATATATTAGTGTAACATTCAAGATGAGCTCAATTCTAGCATGCTTCGGTTTTTTCCCTGTGGCGGTGCCGCATTCGGTATCCTCAGTTGCTGTTGGAAGAGAATAGAACAACTAGCGATTCATGGTAGAAATTGTAATGAAGATGGCCTCATTGCAGGATAGACCTAACAACTTTACCCAACACAACTCCTATGTCTTTTACTGCGCAGTGTAGTTTACAAGATCAATATGTCACTGGATACTATTATTGATGATTCGTATTCGTCTGGCTGCTGAAGAGCGCCCAGCGTTCCCTGCCCCGCTATGTCCGGTCAGCGTCCGGTGAGCGGTTTGGGGTGCACTGCCTCCACAGACTGCCTCTACCTCCCAGCTGATCACGACTACATCATCAACTGCTAAAAAAACACCGTGAGACAGTCTCGCATCGTTGTTGCCTCCCATATCAGCCAGAGAGAAAGATCACTCCCAGTCATCGTCATGGAAGCTGGCGCTGCGATCGTCAGTTTCGTAGGCCTAGCAGGCACTGTTGCGCAAGGCCTGAAGTTCCTGCATGACTTCACGACCAACATGAAGGACTGCCCAAAGGATATTCGCGAGATGAAGATCGACCTTGAGTTAGTAGAAGCCCTGATCATGCAAGTAATTCGACAATGCAACGAGCGAGATAAGCGACTTTCTGAAAGTGCAGCATTGGCACGCGCAATTGTTCGTGCCCAGGAAAGCGTCGAAGATCTCGACAAGGAGCTGGCTGCATATCGTGTGAATGGAAAACGTAAGCGATTCAGGTTTGCAACCAAGATCAGTCAAACGCAAAAGCTCAGGGCAAGTTTGGATAGGACCAGGACCATCATGTTCGAGTTCAAGAGTCAGCTGCAAAGGTAGGCTATACGAAAACACTCTTGACGGTCACTGAAACCAAATAGCGATCTGTTATATGACATCCGTGACATGAATCAAGAGGTTCTCAGATCAGTAGAGAAGACAAGCAAAAATCTAGAAACCTATGACAGAAACTTTCACAAGGTCAAGCAAGAATTCAAGGTCCAAACAGAAACCATGAACGATTCCGATAGCAGAGAAGAGGCTTCAGTTCAGCTAGCAAACGACATTTCATCTAGAGGTCTTGAAGACATCAAAACTATCGCCAAGGAACCCGAACACATTAAGGAATTGTTGACGGAAACAAGGATCTCATCTTCACCGGCTTCATTACAATCAACGCCTGTATTGTCCCGCGAAGCCAGTGATTTCTCCGTCATGAGCTCATCCCAGGAAACGACAGCCAGCAGCATATCGAGCTCGCAAAGTATTCCACCGTCCGTACGCCAGAATGCTCGAAAAGCGGACATGGCCTCAAAACACCCCCTTCTCCAGTTCAAAGATAATCAGGTAAGATCAAGTGCCCATGCGCTTCTGCCCGTCTGATATCTCTGTGCAGTTCCAATTCTTAGTCGCCATCATCTTCACCCAGCGTACCAACCACCAACATCTCGCTTGCCAACGCGCCTCAGAATGTCTTGCAGCATATCCAACGCCCGAAGCACTTTCGCAAGCATCACCTAAATCTCTAAGTCAATACTTCATCAAACTTGGTTTATACAATTCCAAGCCGCTCCAGTTAATCACCCTGGCCAAAGCATATATTAAAGATCCACCAAAACAATGCAGATTGCGCTCGAAACCTAAGTGCCCTCCATCTGAGATTTCGCATTTGCCGCAAATTGGGGTGGCATCGGTTAATGCTTGGTTGGTATATTGCTGTGAGAGGGTAGATGTAGTGACTAAAGATACGACATTGTTGGAGTATATGGAGTATCTGAAGAAAGAGGCGGGAGGGTGATAATTGCCGATAGATATTGCGCTTCTAGATGTGCATCGAGGTGCGGCAAGCAACTACAGTTTCGACTTTAATATCATTTTTTGAGGTGAAGAGGTTAATGGACAGAGAGGGGGGTGTGATGAATTACACTTCTAGCTTCGTGATAGCAATGGCGATGCTGGAATATATGGACATTGCTGCAATATCACGGTACCTATTTCTTTTTTTTCGTGACGCAGTGGTACTTTGTTACTTAAGGGGGGAAGATTAGCTGCAATGTCGCATCAGTATGTAGAATCTGAAGCATAACAATATGCATAGAACACGTGTGGTCAGGACATGTCGTCGTCCAATGAGATCGGTACTCTCGACCCGTCCCGGGAAGCAAGCATTCCAGTCACGCAGTCTAATGAGCTAAGGCTCAGCCGGCAATATCCTACAGCTAGGCTGCTTTGGGCACCATGCTCTACCCGTCTTTTTTTGGACTATTCTGATAGGTGGACTAAGAGTAGGCACGGAAGCGTGTTAGTAGTTTACACCATTAGTGTAATCTCGGCATGGATGTTGAATTACTTTGTTAAAGCAAGAATCATCTTCCATCAATTCCCCGTTTGCATTCTTTGATGTTGAAGATATTCTCCGAGAGCTACCAAATACATTTTTTTGATGCAACATAGTCACATTGTTCGCCAGTGACATTCTTACCTGATTCCTTGATGCTTCCGTGTCCGACTACTTATGCTAATATGTAGTCCATAATTTACATCCGAATTTTCTTTCCTTAAAAGATCGCCGTACCATTGACATGAGAGCTGACTCCACCTGTAGAATGGTTAATAAAAAGGATTCAAGATGATGCAAGATACGACATACCAGGACAATTCGCGGGCGCGGAAGAAAAGAAGAAAAACCATCTCCCCTTCTCCCGACACGTCTGGGCCAACTTCTCCAGATCCAGCATCTCGCCCAGTGGCATACCCCAAAGTGCGAGTATATGCTCGTGAAGATAGTATTCTAAACCCGCGTTAGCTTCCAAGATACAACGAGGAAAAAAACACGCTCTCATTCAATGCCAAGAGCGGTGTAAATCTCAACCATACCTTCATGCGTAGGCCACGCCTCAAAGGCCGGCGCATCACCCGCAACAGTCGCAAAGTAGCAATCATGCAGCCAATCCAAAATCTTCTCTTCCTGGCTCAATCCCGCAAATGTGTGTCCATCTGCCCCTGCCTTCCCGGCATCATGGGGCACCGCAGCTTTGACTCGCTCTTCATCGGTCTTTCCGTCATATGCTTCTTTCCAGCCGCTTCGAACGAAAAGCATGTCTCCGGGTTTGATGTCGCCGCCTTGAGCTGCGGGCCGGATGTCGATGCCCTGGTCCTTTCCGCACTGGTAGAGATCTTCGAAGGAGATGGGGTGGTAGTCGTAGGGGTCATAGACGATTCCTTTTTTGTGGGCGTAGCTTCTGTAGTCGAGGAGGACGCCGCGGCCGGCGATGCCGTGGTTAGCCCAGTGGTGAATTGAGCATTTGTGGTTGGCGTGCGGGCCGGCGATGTCGCTGCCTTTTGTCTGGGGTAATTGTTAGCCAGGATTGATGTGAGAAGAGAAGGAGACGGACGCCGTTGTAGAAGGTGCCGCTTGCTATGTGGGCGAAATGGCGGAAGCCGTCCCATTGCGTGCCACTTTGAGTGTTCAGGTTGTACAGATCATCATAAACGATTCCTTCGAGTACAGTCTTGACTTCGTGCTTGAAGGGTTCACGGCCAAATGCCGGCACATTAGGGACATTGAGAGGTAGGCTGCTTTTATCAACATGGAACCATTAGGGTGTGCTGGGTGGTCTTTACTTTACAGGCACTATTTCTCCAGACTTGATCTCTTTAGCTGCGGCAGCTACGCGGGTCGGCGTAAGAAGGTTTAGGCGTCCAATCTGTCACGGATTAGCGTGGTGTTGTTGTATTGACGGTGGAAGCTACTATACGTAGTCGTTGTCACCCCAGACCCAAGCGGCTCCTTTGGGGGCGCCAGGAATCTCTGGGAGTTCATTACGCGTAGGAAATTTGGTGCTATCCGGATCCCACGGAATGGTCGTGGCGGTTTTTTCCATGGTTAATAAATCTTTGATCTGAGTCAGGCGCTGGTTGGCGGTGTTCTTGGGATCCATGGTGTTCGCTGACGCACCAACAGTCTTTTGTTGGTCAATATTCGGATTATCTCAAGTCTGTAGCACACAGACTCTTTTCACGATATACAAGAAATAGCTGCCACGACTACGTACGTCCCGATGTCTACCCCGCATTATTTCTGCGCTGGGTGGGTTTGCGCCGAGGCTTCTGTGCCGTCTGTATCCATCGGCTATTGTGAACCCACTCTTCTCGTCAAGGGAAATTCATCGAAAAACATCTCGTCCTGCTCTTCCAGCCCCAGCTCTGTGGCATTTGCCTTCAACGTGCCATCGCTGCTCGTAATAAGCAAATGCTCGTAATTGGGAGATGACTTTGTCATTGCAGCGGAGAATCAGAGATTGGTGGCGTAGTATGCGGCGGCACGGCCGGTTAATTACTCTAGCCACGTGTGTCCATCTGGTCCCGTGTGCACCCTTGGCAAAAAGCTTATTGCAGTCAAGAGAGTCTTGTATGTGTATGGCAGTCTTGTTTTCGACATCAACACGTCGGACGTTGGTTTAAGTTAAGAACCTAAGAACGCGAACTGTGGGTACTATAGTAGTATTAATAGACAGTTAGTAATCCTCGCAGCGGGTAAACAGTAATCACGTCTTCGCTACCAATTGTTAGTGCGGCCGGACGGGTCGGCAGGTAGCACGAGTCATCTCACTTGTCAGAGTGTATCTGCTCATAAGCCACTGTCCCGAGACTCTTTGTTCACTTGCCGGTCGCTACTCCATGGCCTACTATCGTCCTGGCCGCTTGCACCATGCGTCCATCGCACGTAGCACTGACACCATCATCTCCGTCTCGTCGACAAGCAAGCCCGTTCTCGTTTCTGTTTCTTGAAGATCCGGCCTGATCCGCTGCGGATTCCCCACGGATCACGAATACATCCAGTCCATATTGATTTAGCCGGTCGGTGTTGGTGTCTGATAGCATCATCATTGGCCATGCTACTAGCGTCGTATCCCTACCCCTAGTGAGTCCGACAAAACCTAATACTCCTTGATCCTAGCCCACCGCCTTGTTGGAGGGAAAACTTCCGTCCGTATCGCCCGTTCTTCCGTGTCAGCAAGGTCTGTGCTGGTAAGTCGATAGACATAAATCGACTACCCCACACCGATGACCCCAGATTGACCCCATCCCCACCTTACTTTACTCCTTCGTTTCTTTCTAGCAATCCTTCTAGCGCCATGGCTTCCGCTATTGAGAAGTCAGAGGCCGCCGATCATACCTCCAAGGTTTCCATGGACGGTATCGTTGCTTACGAGGAAGGCAAGGCCCAACTATCTGGGGAAACTGTTGTCTGCACCGATGAAGATAACAAGCGCATCCTGTGGAAGACAGATATCTGGATGCTGTCTCTCCTTTGTATGGTGTACTTCCTCCAGTCCGCCGACAAGGGAATCATTGGCTTGACGGCTGTTTATGGACTCAAGACCGACGCGCATCTCAAAGGAAACGATTACTCCAACATTGGAAACATTGGTTACTACGCACAACTCGGGGTGCAGCCTTTGGCAGCATGGGTCCTGGTCAAGCTTCGATATCGCCATGTCTTGCCAGTCATCATTGTATGCTGGGGCATCTCAGTCGCTGGTGGCCTTGCAGCATCAAAGAACTACGGTGGACTCATGGCATCTCGATTCTTCCTCGGCGCATTCGAAGCGGCAGTCGTTCCTCTCTTCTCGATGATCACAATCGCCTTTTACAGGCGTTCTGAGCAGCCTTTCAGGGTTGCATGCTGGTATAGTTGTTATGGGCTTAGCACTCTGATCAGTGCTCCTATCGTCTATGGGTTTGGTCGCATCCATTCTCATCACCTATATCGCTATCAGATCGTCTATCTCTTCTTTGGACTGCTGACTATTTGCATCGGCTTGATCACTTACTGGTGGGCTCACGACAGTCCTGGAGAAGCCCGTTTCCTCTCGCCTGAAGACCGCCTGAAGGCTATTGAACGACTCAAGGCAAACCAACAGGGTATCATCTCGCATAAGTTCAACTGGTCCCACGTCTTTGAGGCTTGGACAGAGCCCAAGTACTGGCTATACATGATCATGGTTATCTCCGTCAACGCTGGTGCTGCCGTGTCGTCCGTCTTTGGCGCCATCATTCTCCAAAACTTGGCTGGTTTCACGCCAGACGAAGCTGTTTTGCTCAACATGCCGTTCGGTGCACTTCAGTTTATCTCTATCCTTCTTGCTTCATACCTGGCATACCGTTTCAAGCGCAAATCTCCATTCCTACTTATCCTTGTTACTATCGTCATTGTCGGCGTCTCTCTACTTGTTGCTCTTCCAAAAGAGAAGAAAAATAAAGGAGGACTTCTCGCTGGCTACTATCTGATTGCATTTGTTTATGCCATCAATCCTTTGCTCATTTCCTGGATGGGAGCAAACTGTGCCGGACAAACCAAGAAGGCCGTTTATTATACTTCTTTCAACGCTGGAAACGCCGTTGGTAATATCATTACCCCATACATTTTCGATAAGAAGTTCGCTCCACAATACGTAAGTCAGCCATATATATCTTACATACGAGTGGCACTTTATTGACAATCATCTAGCACAATGCTCTCAAGGGTATTCTCGCGATTTGGTGCATCCTCTGGGGCGTCGTGATTCTGCAAATTTTCGTCATCACGTGGATGCAGAAGAAGAAGTGTGACGATCGCGAGGCAGCTGGTCTTCCGCGGAACCCTGTCGATTATTCCATGAGCGGACACCAACAAGCGACTGACGCTGATGTGCACGGCGAGAACGGTCTCCAGGACATGACGGACAGGGAGAATATCTACTTTCAGTACTTGCTGTGATCAAAACCGCAGGTTCATGTTTATGTTCTACATTTCTTGAAGGAAACTTGACCTTTTCACAATGGCATGATTAGAATTTTAGTGCTGATGGAAAGACGGATGCCACGCTGGAATATGTGGGGACACCAGCTTATGCTTATGTCAGCTCTGTAGTAGCCAAAAACAGCGAATACAGCTGTTCACATGCGAAGTTAATCAGCTTCTATCAACATCATCCTTAATACTGCAGTTCTTCAATCTCTCTGGATGTAGTTGTGTTCCAACTCACTGTCACTCTCTTTTCTTACAGAGATTCTCATTCGTCAAGCTCGTTCCTCGAATGACCATACCTTCACCGCAATTTCTCTTCTACCTTGTCGTACCTTGCATCGCCATCTTTTTGTACAACATTCTCTATACCCCCATACAGCTTCCTATACATGCAATGCCAGCACAACCATCAGCGCAGGAAGTAGCGACTACCCTTCTCGCTGAAAAAGGGTTGGTAGTCGAGTCCCTCGAACGTATTCAGTCATTATGGGCCGGGTATGGCGAGATATGCCGAGTCAATACTGTTCCGGATGCTGCATCGGCTGGCTCTTCCACGGAATACCAATCTTTTGTTCTCAAACTTGTTACGCCTCCTCCGACAAAGTCAGATGATGAGGGACATACGAGGAAGATTTTGAGTTATAGAGTAGAGCAGTACTTCTACACTCACCTCGCGCCTCAGATGCCAGATTCACTTCCTGTTGCTAAATGCGTGGCAAGCATCAACAAGCAGAACGAGGACGGTACCTCGATAACAGCCATGCTATTAAGCGATCTCAAACAGCAGTATCCCATTGCGGGCGAGAAACGCGCAGTGCTCTCGGAAACCCAAGTCTTTGCTGCATTGGACTGGCTCTCCGGCTTCCACGGCTTCTGGTGGTCGCGCGTGCAAACCCTGACGCCCTCATCGCTTGTCCTACCTCCACTCGAGGAAGTCCAGCGCAACGACCAAGACACCGAGGAAAAGAGCGTCTGGCTCAACGGCGGCTACACATACCTCACAACACGACGAAAAGAGTACACCTCTCTAGCCATGGACCACCACTCGGACTGGGGTATCCCGCTCACCCGCCGCACAAACGACGAAGACCTCTCCATCGCCGAAATGGCAGCCCTCTTTCTCGCACCCAAAACACCAGAAAACCCTTCAATAGCCAAATACCAAACCCTCATCCACGGCGACGTTAAATCCGAAAACCTCTTCACAAGCACGTCAGGAGACCAAGTCGCATTCTACGACTTTCAATACACAGGCCTCGGTCTCGGCGTCTGCGATCTCGCAAAATACTTTACCTGCTCCGTCCCGCTCGCCATGCTCGTCGCAGACGAACACGTGCAGCAGGAGCTGCCGATGCAGGAAGGCGAAGAGAAGCTTTTGCGTCGCTACTGGGAGAAGCTGTGCGCAACCGGTGAGCGAGAATACGACTGGGCTACTTTTGTGAGGCATTGGGAGATAGCGCTGGTGGATTGGCTGCGGTTCCAGGCCAGTTGGGGGTTCTGGGGTAATACAGAGTGGTTGGAGGCGAGGGTGAGGAGTGTGTTGGGTGATGAGGAGTGGCGGAGGTTTTTGGTGGATAATGTGGCTAAGATTAGCACATAGTAATTAAATCGGTGTACATGAAGGTCGTATGTGCGTGACATTCTATGATTAGTCCTATAACGCGCTGCAAATCATTAGTTGAGAGGTTTAATAGTGTTTTATCTTCCAATTTTCCCAACTTGCAAAAATTCAGCACGATCGCCGGTATGGCCAAGTGGTAAGGCGTCGCACTTGTACCTCAACAAAACCGGGCAATGCGAAGATCGCTGGTTCAATTCCGGCTGCTGGCAATGAATTTATCAGTCTCTTTTTGCTTTTTTTGTTATGCGGTGGAGTGGAGCAGAGTGTGGGGTGCGGTGCGGGGAATTTTTTCGGGTCGGAACGAGGATGTACGCTGCACTTAATCTGCAAGGTACGATGAAGATAAACTTTTGCTAGCACTGGTTTAGAGAAACATCACATTCATTTTACCTTGAACTAAAATACATGTGATTTTTTTGACATATCGTCTTCATCGTGTCTGGGTAAAGCAATCATATATAGCTTCATTCCGAGCTATTCTTTCGGCTGACATGTTTTGCGTAAAATGGCTAGACTGCAGTTTAAAAAGACCAACAATAGCTCTGCTTAGGCCGAACCCGCAAATGCCGTTATCAAATGCGTAGCTTCCAAAGTCTTTCAAGCCGGATCTGCATCCCCTACCGATGCATTAAGCCAACTAGACGGGGACGAGAAGGCTATGGTGCCAATCACTCATGTGCCCACATCCATCTCTTCTTCCCTAATACCCCAGACTCCACATGATGCCCCCCCCCATCCCCTCGAACGCCTTCGTCCAAACATCCCAAACCCCAACGTGAATAAAAAAAACCGTCTTCAAACCCCGATAATCGAATTCAAAATCCCCCTCTTAACCCACCCCTTCACAACCAACACCCCCCAAGCCCCTCCCCCAACCCCCACATTCACCCAAAACAAGCACATCAACACCGCATCCGCCGCCGCTCCACTGCGATACCGTACCCCGTGCAGTCCCAACAACTTGGCAGCGACATCATCAGCGACCAGCGTCGCCATGAGGACCGTGGCGCCGACGACGCTCGCGTGGAAGAGCATGTGGAGTTGCTGCGGTGCGGTGCAAGTGAAGAGTGTGGTGTAGAAAGATGAGAGGGAAGAGAGGGCTATGAGGAGGCTGGAGAGTGTTATGCAGGCGAGGACGTAAGTGAGGGTTTTGGCTAAGAGGGACATTTGGGGCGGTAGGGTGATGGGGGGTGTTGGTGTGGATTGGTGGCGGTGACGGTGGTGGTGGAGGTGTGGGAGGAAGGCATAGCTTTGTGGGCGGAGGAGATGGAGCATCTTTTTTGTATGTGGATCTCTCTTTTTTTTTTGCGGGGTTATTTCAGATTGGCTTTTTTGAACCAAGGTCGTGACATGCGGGATCCGGTGGATGTGGTGGGTTGGATGGTCGCGGGCACCGAGCGGTGTGGGGTGAAACAGGTTGCGCAGTTTGGGGTGAGGGGGTGTGGGTTTTCGTGTGTGGGTAAAGAGAGGGTTATGGTAATTCTGAGAAGGAACTTGGGTGAGGGTTCTGCAGGAACGAGTGAGATGGGATAGATATGTAATACAATATATGTTACATGAACGCTCGATTCGTTGTACGGGGTATGCTTGCATGCATCGAGTGGGGCGGGCGGCATTGCTTACTACCAAGGCACTAGGGGGACGTCCATTGGCGTATCGATGAGCGAGGACGTCGTATATTCGAGTTTGAGCTATTTGATATAAAGTGATAGAGTTGTATAGTCACTTCAAATGTGTCCAGACGCTCACATAGGCAATGGTGTAGTGCTGGAGTGTGCAAGCTGCCATCAACGTTCGAGGTATTTGGAATGTGAAAAGATACGCTGCAATCAGCGTCTCATCTGGGCATAGCTCAATGTAGAAGATTGCTGACTTGGTTCTCACTAGCGAAGGGTCACGGTAGTGAGGACATGCTCAGAGATTGGTACTCGGTGCTTACGCGGTGATAACGCAATGGTTGCAAGCATGGTCTGATTTGCGGCCGACAATGTTTTGCGACGACTCTGGGAAGTTTGACAATGTAATGCAATTACGACGATACCAGGCGGTGTGTCGGTGGAACATTGCATTATGAATCTTTCTCGTGATTGGTGCAGAGTACTTAGAGTGCTTATGCATGTGCTAGAAACATATTACATGTGCGCAGAAGGGAATGCGATTAGTTGCCGTTGACTAGGTGCTCAGAGCCTTTGATGACAGTTTTGGGACAGCATCCGATATCAGGGTTTTGTCCGTGGCGCCAGAATCCTGTCCTGAGTCTAAAAGGCTTTTTGGCTTGAACAGAAGATGAGAGACTGGCACATACACCAGTAATCTTGGTTGTATTTGTTCTGTTTTTTTTTACAATTATCATGTATCATAGCCTACTTTAAGCTCTGGATTCCCGTTGCCACAGCATATAGCAATCTGCGTAACTGGTTGTTTGAGAAAACGACATTTCATATTCTCAACCCAGGTTCACGTGGTCCACCCATCTTTCCCTCAATACTCTTCTGCATCGACCCACTAATGAGTAGAAGCTCTGGAATCCGCATCCTCTACCAATTCATTCGCCATCCTCTCCGCTTCTAAGCCGTCAAAATAATCCTTAAATGGATCCTCCCCAAACTCGTCGTCGTCTTCTTGCTTGGGCTTGGTGAGTGACGGTAAAGTGTACTTTGTTCTGAGTGTTTCCGACATGTCAAACGGAGTTCCTGAAGTCAGTTCCGGAGTCCATTTGTCCATGCCCTCATTTGCCAAGGCGTCGGCTGCGATGTTACCTATATCAGTGCTGTGTCCTTTGACCCAGACGAATGTTGTCTTGCCCTTGCATGTCAGACGCTCTCGTATCCTCGCAAGTATTGGTTGGATGAGTTCCTTATTCTCCACGCTCTTGCCAGCTGCGTTTCTCCAGCCCTTGGTCTCCCAGTTCTGGAACCACTCGCGCAGACAACGGATAGAGTAGTATGAATCTGTCCGAATCTCGACATCACGGTCAATTGGCACATGGTCGAGAGCCCGGGCTATAGCGACAAGCTCGGCTCGCTGGTTGGTTTGTCGTTCTCCCCTTAGAGGTTCTCCAACGTTCCTGCAGTCACGGTCAGATGTTGCTTATTGCATGGCACCACTACACACGAACCTGGGATCTCTGGGGCCAAAGTAGACACCCACGCCTGCTCTAGCGCCTAATTTGCCATTTCCTCTAGAGCCTCCGTCTGTATGTACTACCAAGGGGCCCTTGAAGTTTCCCGTTGGGTGTTTTTTGGTTGCAGTGAGTTCGTTTGCAGTCTTTGCTCTGATGTTGCCCGCAGTCTCATCTAGTTTTATCGTCGGGTCGAAGCCATCTACTGCGCCAGGCGGAAGAGGCCCCATGCCCGGTTCGGTCTTATGATCTCCGTTGGTCAAAGTTGTTGCAGACGGCGCGTGCTCCCGTTTCTGTCGCTTGGACGCATGTTCAGCACTCGGTTCCATCTTGCCCACCGGTACGGATGAGGCGGCAGATAAGTGACCCTGTAAGCTTATGGGCGCACTGGAACCTTTTCTAGCTCGATCGACAAAAGCCTGGGCTTCTTCGCGTGTGGCAAATCCTTGATGCTTTGCACCTTTGAATCCTTTTGTATGCGACTCTACAGTTGGCCAATCTATGTAGACACCGGGCACGCGTCCGACTGCTACTCCGTAAAACTTTGGTTTCGGGGGCTTGGGTCGCTTGACGAGGGTCCCTTTGACGAATGCTTCTGCGTCGGTATATGAGGAGAATGACTGCACTAACTAAGCATCAGTACAAGCCTGGCACGTGAATTGACGCTACACACCCTCGTGGTTATTGAAGCCTTCGGTCTGCTGGCGCACGTCCTCCCAGTTCTGGTAGACGCCTGGCACTCTCCCAGCTTTGACGGCGTAGAATTTGAGGGGGCCGCTTCTACGTTTCGCACTCGATGTCGCTGATGTGGCAGACTGGTTGCCTGCCATTGATCCCTCCTCTGTGAGTATGGTATCGGGGTAATCTTCCCAAGTGGAATACAGGCGCTGGAGAGGGCAGGGCAGTGTCGGGGTCTTAACTGTGCGCACGGAGCTCGCGAGACCGTAGTGACAGGCTTCGGTATCCCTAAGATACCAAGATTAGCTTGCGATTGTAATAGCAAACGGCCATGTATATCGAGGCCGTGGCGTGGGCGAGAGGGGAGGGTTACCATGCGCTGGCGTGAGCAGAGAGAGCAGCGACGCGCCGGATAAGAGATAACCCGGCCAGACGGAGCATGCAGCGCTATCTCAGTGTCGCAGTGAATTGCAGAGTGCGCTTGTGTGGGCACGAAGTATAGCGACTGGCAGGCCGGCACACTGCTGTGTCTGCCAGTTGCGGGAGTGACAAGCCCAGGACTGCGGGGACCCTGCAGCAGCAGCAGCAGCAGTTGCTTCACAGGTGGTGGGCACTCCATCACAAGCCGCTACCCAGTCTGCCGGATACAACACGCAAAAAGAAACACCTGCATTGCAAACAAGCTTCTCTGGCGAGAGTCATCAAAGACCGACAGAAATCTTCGTTCTAGTCAACCAACGACGTGGTAACGCGTCTCGTCGGGAAGTCTAACAGGACGCGCCGCGCAGCGTAACCTCGGTGAACAGGCCCAGAACCCCGCTACGTCACCCATCACCAAAGGCTTGCTCTCTGCTCTCACCGTGGACGAACACTAGGAGCGGTCATATCCATATTCTCTGTGCTGTGTGCTCTGCGTCACCCGCCATGTTCGAAGTGAGGACAAACAGGCCGACTGCCAAACCGCCGTGACTGACCGTGGACCAGAGCCGTCACGCAGCAGACAGATACCGGCTGCATCTGCATCGCGCCCGCTCCGTTGTACTGACAAGCGATGAACTGGTTGAGATTCGGGCGGCCCAGCGCACGTTTGAGGGCGCCTATATGCGCACGGCAATCGGCCAGTTCTCGTTTGCACTCGTTGTGCTCAAGATCTTCACCGCTGAGTTCTACTCGATTGGCGCGCTGTTTGCAGTCTATGGAGTCGGTATCCTCTTCACCAGCCTGTTCCGTCGCCAACAAGGTGAGTGTTGTGACGAAACCGTGCATGTGCCTATACACTTTGGGTGCTGATAGTCGACAGGAAACAAACAGTTCTTCTCCGAAGTCGGTGCCGACGGTCTATGCCACAAGAAGTTTCGCACCAGCGGAAACGTTGTCGTTGCCTTGACAGCACTGAGCATTTCTGCATATATATGTCTACTGGTTCTCACACTCAAGCTTGCCAAGTGAGGTTGGGCTGTTCTGTTACTAGAGTACCGTACTTCTGTCCTGCTCTAAACAAACGCATCAATCATAGCACGACGCTATACCAAAAGGGACATCAATCTCGGAGGCTCCACAGGACTACGTCAGGAAATCTGGGGAAGTGCCTATCGTGTACCTATATACGTATGCATGCATATTGGATGCCAAGGGATTCACCATGTGTGCACGTTCGGGGCATTGTTGGGCGACAGGCTATGTGCCTAATGCTTGGATTGACGTTGGACAGATAATCGTGCAAATCCAAATTCCAAATGGAACCCACGTAGGCTGGTCGCCATCAGTTATAATCGAATTGCAAATGCTATCCTGTCGTCGTTTGTCCATCGGTATCGGGATTCGGAGCGTGGGGGTCTGGGTGTAAGCAGCAGCAGCAGCACCGACGTCAGGCGGGGTGCGTTGTGGCTTGGGAAGGGACGCGTGCACCGATTGCCTGCCCTTTATCCTAATCTCTCCTGTACGGGGGAGAGAAGATAAAGAAAAGAAGAAGAAGAAGAAGAAGGGAAAAAAGATATTCCATAGGACCGTACGTCATGCAATAGCCAGCCTGTTCCTGCGCGTTCCCGCAAACTCGACCGTTGCTCCATTCAGCAACGTGATCTGGCGGGGAACCGTGGATGGTGGTGAGCACCAGCCAGAAAGTCCGACTCCGAACGGTCATATTTAATTCACACGTATGGATATATGTATCGGCCTCCGGTCCTGCTGATAAAGTCAGCTGTCCCTGCCCGCTTGTTACCTTTGCACAACGCGCGCGACAAGAAAGACCTGACCAGAGTGTCCGTGGTTGCACAAAGCCTGTGTGCAACCACTACGTATATTTCCCCAACCTCAACCCACTCCCTTCTCCACTGCTGCGACTCATCCCCCAGCCAGCGACTGGCCTTAGCGCAGTGGCGAGGCTACTCTCACTCTAGCTTGACACAGCAGCGCACAATAACAGCTTCGTCGCCTTGGCATGACGCCAGGCATGGATGCTCTTCGGACGCCGATGGTCACCGAGCTTGCTCGTCACAAGCACCATTCCCATCCCCGCCGCACTTCTGCCTCTTCTTCACCACCTTTTTCTCCGCCACGCCGCCGCTTCAGCTCCCACTCCACCTTTGCCCGATCTGTAATGGGCAAACTCACTCTGCCCCTCGACAACGCACAGCAGCCAGACACCACCATTGACAACGATCTGACACCCCGCCCCGTGTCGGCCGAACCCAAGTTTCCCGCAGTTGCGCCCGCAAAGAATGTGCAGGCGCTCAAGGAGCGCGCAAACCAAGATGGCCACCTGAAGGCGGTTCCCAATCCCGTCCAGCAGCACCACCAAAATGGATATCTCTCTGGGAACAATGGCGTGGGCGTTGCCTTGAGCGACACCCCGTTGCCATCGGTCCCGGGAAGTCCGCGAGAGTATGGAGAGGCTCCGGTGCAGACTACCTCATACTTCGCTGACCGTAACAGCACTCTCACACGCAACAGCTCCGCTGCGGGCACCCCCCGGTTACGCCCGACGACGCTCGACATCCCCGGCTTGACAAAATCCAAAGTCTCTCCCGACGGCAAGATTGCACAGCGCGATGTCGGCTCCAAGCTAGTCATTGTCATGGTGGGACTGCCCGCGCGGGGTAAGTCTTACATCACAAAGAAAATGGCCCGCTACCTGAATTGGCTACAACACGACACCAAGATTTTCAACGTGGGAGAGAAGCGGCGAGTGGCGGCCAGTCACAGCGGCTTCCGCTTATCCCAGGCGAACCTTGAGCGCATCTCATCCAATGTCAAGCGCGCCATTGAGGAGCACCAGGACACCTTGCCGCAGATTGCCGCAAAAATCCTTATCAACGGCGACCCCGCGCACGATGGGGCCATTGACCCACAGAACGTGCCGGACCCACGCCGGGGTAGCACCGCCATCGCGGACGACGACGATAATACAGCGCTTCCACCACCCCGGGTCCAGGTCACATCTCCAGGCCCGAAAGCGCCTACGCCCAACAATGAGGAGGACACCAATGAGAATGAAACAATGGACCAGTCGGCCGACTTTTTCGACCCGCAAAACCAGCGTGCGGCTGCGCTGCGAGAACAATGCGCCATGGAAACATTGGATGATCTGCTGGATTACATCCTAAAGGGCAGTGGATCAGTAGGCATATTTGATGCAACCAACAGCACTCTTGCACGCCGAAAACAGATTATGGAGCGGATCCGTGCGCGCGCAGGACCAGAGCTCAACGTTTTGTTCGTCGAAAGTGTATGCCGCGACCAGAATCTGCTAGAGTCGAATATGCGCTTGAAGCTGTCGGGACCGGACTACGCGGATAAGGACCCCGTTGCTGCTCTCGCAGACTTCAAGAAGCGTGTAGCCATCTACGAGAAAAACTACGTTCCAATTGGCGACTACGAGGAAGACAACAACATGCCCTATGTCAAGATGGTAGACGTAGGCCGGAAGATGATTTCACATCAGATTAGGGGTTTCCTTGCTGGCCAGGCTGTCTACTATCTCCTCAACTTCAACCTCGCGCCACGCATGATTTGGATAACAAGGCACGGCGAGTCGACGGACAACGTTGCTGGCAAGATTGGTGGTGACTCCGATCTTAGCCCGAACGGAGAAAAGTATGCAAAGGCCATGACGCGCTTCATTGCTGCTCAGCGAAAGGAGTGGGCAGTTCGGCAAGCAAACAAGAAGGCCAACTCGCACTTTCCGCCAGTCCCGGGTGACACCACTCCCCCGAACCCATACTACAGCCATGAACTCGAGACGCACAACTTTTGTGTCTGGACTTCGATGTTAAAGCGTTCAATTCAGACTGGGCAATACTTTTGCGATGAGGATTTCGAGGTCAAGCAGATGCGCATGCTGGATGAGCTCAACGCAGGCATCATGGAGGGTCTTACATACGAAGAGATTCGCACCAAGTACGCTGATGAATACTTCCGACGGCGACGTGACAAGCTTGCGTATCGTTATCCCGGCCCAGGTGGCGAAGGCTACCTCGACGTCATAAACCGCATTCGCCCTGTCATTGTCGAACTGGAGCGCATGACGGACCACTGCTTGTTGATTACGCATCGCAGTGTCGCTCGTGTGCTATTAGCTTACTTCCAGGGCCTGAAGCGCGAAGATGTAGCCGACCTCGACTGTCCTCTCGGTATGCTATACCAGCTCGAACCGAAACCCTATGGTGTCGAGTTCAAGGCCTGGCGGTATAACCCTGAAACCGACGACTTTGACCATTTACCTGATTACAAGCTCAGGAGGGCGCCTACCTTGACTAATAATTGAGATTTGGCAACTTTCCTTGGATTCGGGATTGAGTGATTGGAAATGTCGGAATATGTATTATTATGATTAGTTCTCTTACGGAGGGGATATATCAGAGATTAAGGTTACGATAACTCGGCCTTGTTTCTTCTTTTTTTTCTTAAACCCTTCGGTGTACTTTTGGAAACGGCTGGTTTGCCCACCCGTTTCTCCCCTTTTTTTTCTTTTTTTCTACACGACCTAGAAAACGTCTAGGTACCTGCAACAGGCGGTGACGATGTCCCCAAGGTGGAATGTTTGTTGCATTTACAGGCGTCCTTCTTATCTTTCTGAGTTCATGGACTCTCCTTGTTTTTTTTATTGTCGGTCTTTTTCTTTCTTTCTTGTAGAAGTGAAATCAAGAACGGATTCCCAGATACGGGGATTGAAGAAAGAAGAAAGTACAAGGACTCGAGTGATGTCCATTGGGGAAAACAATGATATATTTCTCGCTGTGTTACATTCATACACACTTCTCTACTCACCAGAACGCCTCGTAGCAACAATTCCACACGGCTCCCTCACCCCCCAACTCCTCAACTTGCGCTCTCCGAGTATATCCCCCTGCAACAACCTCTCCATCTCCATCTCCCCCCTCTTCTTCCCCTCGCCCTCTTTCCCATCCTCAGCTCCCAATACCTCTACTTCCTCGACCAACCCACCCACTTCATACGCCCCGCTACACAGCGCCACAAGCCCAATCTCACACGTTGTGCTCCCACCCGGCGGTAGAAGCGCAAGTCGGCGTTGCAGCGCGCCCGACCACGAAAGCCGCTTGTCGAGATCAAGCGCGAGGGCATGCGGGAGGGATGCGAGATGCGGTTGTAAACGCAGCAAAGGTGAAATGGGGTGAGGACTCCGATTCCGAAGTGTAGTCCGTAGGGTAACGAATGTGTCGATTGGAACTGAGAAGCGGGAATGGCCTAATTGCTTGATCGGTTCCTCTTCTTCGTCTTCATGGTCTGCAACTAGTGTCATGGAAATCGCCAGATCATCTAGTTTGATAGCGTCGACCATACGTTGAGAAAGCCGGATACCACGGAGTTCGAGGGCGCCGTGGCGGCCGTTGCCGGTTTCGGTCCAGGTGCCTCGGATCATGGTGAGGAGTTGCTGGCGGTACCAGAAGGCTTCTCTGCTTGCGCGCTCGGTCTCGGGCGAGATTTTGCTGGTGCTGACGACGAATTGGCGTTGGTTGGCGGGGTTGAGCGAGGGGACTGCGGCGTGAGGGGCGCGCAGGTGGATCTTGGGAAGGATAAGGACGATGCGGCTGACGTGGCCGGGTTGGATTATTTCAGTGACGGAGAAGGCGTCTTTCCAGGGGTCGGTTGAGTCATCCTGTGAATCGTTTGTGGTGGGACGCCGTGCTTCAAGTGTGAGGGTTAGTGGGTTTGGCCATGAGTTTCGTAGGTCCAGGAGAAGCATGCAGTATTCGTCGTCGTTTCCTTGGCTCTGTTTATAGCTTATGAATGAGCGGAGATGGGTGTCGGCGTTGCCAGAAGCTGCAGGTGGTGACGGCTCAGACTTATCTGCTGGGGCTAGTGCAAAATCTTGGGACCAGCCAACGTCGCCTGATAAAGGCACAATGTCCGGGCGCTGGAGCTGTACACTTGCATTCACAGTAATAGATATGTGAGCAGAGACCCGACGAGTAAAGACATGTTCTTCA